CCACTGCCAAGGACAAGGGCAGACTGCAGTGCATCATTCGTTCCGCTGAGAAGGTGATCAGCTGAAATCTGCCATCCCCCCAGGACCTGTACGTCTCTAGAACCCTGAGGTGTGCAGGCAAGATTGTGGCTGACCCCTCCCACCCTGGCCACAAACTCTTTGAACCTCTCCCCTCTGGCAGGAGGCTACGGTCCATCAGGACCAAAACTTCTTGCCACAAAAACAGTTTCTTCCCGACTGCAGCTGGCCTCATTAACAGGGCCCGGACCCCCCAATGTCACTGACTCTCATACCCACCCTGTATATATGCATTACATTAATGCACTCCCGTCTTCTGTACAGTTTTATTATCTTTTCTTATCTTTATTTATCTATATTTTTTAAAAAGTACTTTATACTTGTGTGAATTTTGTGTGACTTGTATATTTTTGTGTGATTTATATATTTATCTTTTTATTTTTTGTGTGATTGTATATTTTAAGCACCATTGCATCAAGACAAATTCCTTGTATATGTAAAAACCTTCCTGGCAATAAATCTCATTCTGAATCTGATTCTGATTCAATCAGTCTCCAACTCTCACTGGGATGTTTCTGGGGGTCCCCATTGAGTTAATTATGACCAAAACCTCTGTTCCTTATCCCTTACGCATAACATTTTACATTATGATTTCCTTTTGCTTACTTTTTCCTGAGAAATTTGTCGATGCTGTCCAACTGTTACAACTCAGGAAAATCAGGATTGGACCCAAATGTGAGACAGTCAGCAGGATGACATTGGTGATTGAATGTAGATTAGAGGCAGAAGCAGGTACAGGTAGGCAGGTAGGGAGGTAAGCAGCTCCAGACTAAAGACTAAATGCACAGGTCAGGGGAAGGATAAAAAGAAGCATATAATAATCAGGGTGGGACAGACATTCTAAACTGGAGGGAAAACAAACAACAGACAAAGACAGGAAGTGAATTTAAACAAGACACAGGAGTTTACAAAATAAAACAGGAAATAAGGTAAACTCAAAACCATGACACTGATAGTGGTGGGTAGAGTGCTGAAAATCTATACTCAAGTAAAAGTAAAAATTACCACTTGAGAAACCTACTCAAGTAAAAGTAAAGTAAAGCACCTTGTTAATAAAGTACAAGTCACTTTCCATTTTAATATTCTTAAGGGGTGAATACTACAGAAATTATGAAAGTAACATTAACATTGAAGTTGGCATTACATTAGCATGGCTGCATTCAAAAGCACAACAATTTAAACTTAATGCAAACAGTCTCGGATGCCTCCGTATGACCCACATAAACAAAGCAGAACATCAGCGAGAATATTGGCTGTTTTTATATAGTTACTCTTAATGCCTGCCACTAGATCGGATTCCCCCTGAAATCAATGAACCGAGGTGGTGAAAACACTATTGCTTTTGTCCACAGGGGCCGCCAGAATCAACGTAAAATGAGAACTCCGTTAGTTATACTAACTATCGTTAGTTGTTATGTGTAAAGCATTACAAAGTAATGCATTACTGTAATCACATTTGTTTGTAACACAATACTGTACACATTACTGTTCCTAAATTCAGTACTCACATTAGAGTTACTAATCAGTGCTACAAATTGTTCAATTATCTGCATAAAGGGTGGACAGAAACAATCTTCTAACTGACCAAGGATCCAGCTTCCTGTAACTCTCCGACACGAAAGTAATTGTCTGACAAACATTTTGACAGACTCTTCCTCATTAGGTAGAACCACTGCTTTAATGATAAACACGTCAAGTAAGCTGCACTAGTCTACTATAAAGCCAGAGTTTGATGAGCGAGTGACTACAGTGAGTGTGTTTGACTTAAATGCAGTTCATATTACGTGAGGGAGTAATAAATTAAGTAAATTATTGCATTGCTTTAAAAAAAGTAAAGAGTAATGTGTTATACATTACTTTTTTTAAGGCAACAACCCCAACACTACATGTTAGCTAGCTCTACATTTTTACAGTTTTTAAAGGACCAGTGTGTAACATTTAGGAGGATCTATTGGCAGAAATGGAATATAATATTCATAGCTATTCATTAGTGTATCATCAACTGAATATTACCTTAGAATGAGCCATTTTTATTTACAGTATCCCAGAAATCAAACACTGGCTGTAGATAGAGCCTTTTGCTCTTGAAGGTATAAAAGCAAATGTAGCAAAGTAAAAAGTAGATTACTGGTTCAAAAATACATAGAGTAGAGGTACAGGTTAAAAAAGGAACATGAGTTCCTGAATAAAATGACTTGTTTACTCCTGTGCATTACGTGTAATCTGTTACAAGCCACCCCTGCTGTCTGATACCAGGATCAATGTCTCCTGCACACTGATGTATGGCAGTTGAATGTGTATGTCAGTTGTATTTCACTCCGATGGCATGTTGAGCCTGATGTTACTGCCTCGCGTATTGAATGGATGTCATTATGGTGCCGTGTGTTGACACGTACGCATTGTTGTTGTGTGTGTGCTGTGTTAAAGTAATGGCAGAGCCGTGGCCATGAACAGACGGTTCCGCTGCGCACGTCATCCATATCCAGTAACTGCTCTACAGTGCTGATTAGCTGTGGGATGTTACAGAGGGAGTTCATGGGTAAAATCAATATTTTGTCCCTTATGTGTTCCACCGACGCTCCGCTGCCTGCTGAGGTCTAAAAAGTTTCCAGTCGGGTGCTGATGGGATCTTTTTACCCTCACAGCTCAGATGAGTAATGAACATTCTCTAGTAGCTGACAAGTTGAGATGTGTGCTGACAATTGTGAGCTGCCACGACAGCTTGAAAGACAACAGGACACAAACACAAACTGTTATTGCCTGAAATGTCATTGTGCTCTTCGTTGTAGGGTTTGAAAATGCAGCTCATCCTTGCCTTACGTTTGAGGTGACACAAAAAGCTTTGTGCTTTGTGCAGCTTAGAAAATCCATATTTGTACACACTATGTTTATGTGGTTGCAGTGTTTTTCAGATTATTCTGAAGGTTTTGTTTGTAGGGCACTCCGACAGTGGTAGTTAAAATTAGTAAAGACAATATGGTGCTTGCAGCTGTCAGTGTCCTGGGTCAGATCTGTGGGTGGTAGCAGTGCACATTGCTGTCTGCCACTGTGTCTTTTTTGATACTACCAATAGGGGCAGAATTGGTCACATCCTACACAACAGGGGCTTTTAACCTGCATGGCTGAGTAACATGTTATATTGGACCCAGCCAATCAGGTCTTGCAGCACCAACATAATCCCTTTTCCTTTGCCACAGTTGTGCAGAGACATTAGAACACGTTAGACTAGATGAGAGATGGCAAATAAATGTGGACCCTAGGAAGACTAGCTGTGCTTTAGGGCCATATAGAGCAGTGTTTCTTCTACACCACATACCACCTCAGAAAATATCAGGCTCTCCAGATAGACAGGGTAAGCATTCCCTATTCAGCTATAGATGGTTCACACAGGAAGCAGCTATATTCCTAATAGGAAGATTATTACTTGTTAACTGTTGTTGAATCTTGAATGGAACCGGTTTAAGAACCAGAGCTAATTTAGCAGAAAAGGGGTCCTCCTGGTCCACATTTCTCTTCCCAATTGTTCCTGTTTGGACCCACAAATGCAGTGTTTTTGAACCATTCATTTTGACCTCTGCTTACTATGCTACCATCACATTTTAGCTCCTAACTAATCATGGATGTACTGTACTTTTTTTTCTAAGCGATAAACATAAAAATCTTAGAACAGTGCTGTGGAATTGCTGTTGATGGTCACATCTAAATGCAAACTGCCTGTTAATGATCAAATATGTTGTCATGGTTGTTAAATACATGCACAGGGATGTTTCTGGACCTAATTTAAAAAAAATATTGATTGATTGATTGATTGACTTATTGATTGATTGATTTAAACCAAAGCAAGTCCTGTACTATCAAGAAAAACCTAGAAAGGTCCTGGAAAACGATTTCTTAAAAAGGGTGGGGACCCTGTTAATCTTAGTGAACTCAGCCTAACATGTATGCAGTCTTCAATGCAGCACTGGCTCAGTGAACAGAGGGGCAGAGAACAGGTCCCAGCTGACTGTGTTAAGCTGTACTTACACTATACTCCTGTGGGGAAATGCACAGTGCACCGTGATTGCTGCGGTCATGCCCATAAGCAAAATCACACACATTGACTGGAGTTTCCCCTGAGCAACAAGAAGAGAGAGAGAGTTTCCCACATATTCTTTCCCTACCTCTCTCTACGCTTGAAGTTCAGCCTAGCGTGGGCCCTCTTATTGATTTTTAGTACAATATGTTCCTCCCTTCAGTTTTCAGTGGAGGAAGAGCTCAGTGATCAGTGATAAGGCTACTGAAGCTGATTCACCTCTCTTTACATGTTGGACCTCAGTGTCATGGCTCTGTCCTGTCGCTCTCACTGCTGTCACTAACAATGAACTCCACACATTTCCAAGCTGTTTTACAATCTGCAGTGATTCCATAAACTTTTGTACCATGGATGCAGTAGAGATGCTTTGAAACCAATGAAAAACCCTTTCTACATTTTATCCATATAGGCTAGCTGTCATCATGTTTATTTAAATCTATAATTTGTAACGCTGCATTTCACCGGTCGCCTGTCAATGGCGTCATATCCCCTTTGGGCCTGCGTCAGCGTTGTGGTTGTCTGCCAGAAGCTGTCATATATTGACTGTTTATCCAGTCTGAAGCCACATTTTTTACCATCCACTGTTTAGATCTTGGTGCTTTTTAACTCTAGATTTAAACCAGCTGAAGGATTTTAGTCATTGGACATCTGGATCTTAAGTTATCAGAGAAACAAGCAGCTCGCAGCCCCTCCGAAACGTCCTGGGTCATAAAAAGGCTGAGAAACCAGAGCCAGAACCAGCACAAGTTTAAATTGACATTGCAATATAAGAACAAGACTAAATAAGAATTTAAACTACTTTATACGTCTTCATGTAAGACTCTACCTTTCCTCTCCTGCTCTGTTCCAGGCGTTCGGCCAAGCCTACTCCACCCAGCGTAAGGTGGCAGAAGATGGGGAGACCAACGAGGAGACACTGTTGCAGGAGTCCGCCACCAAGGAGGCCTACTACATGGGGCGCCTCCTGGAGCTCCAGTCGGAGCTGAAGCACAGCCGGTCCACCGCCTCCAATGCACAGGCTGACAACGAACACCTAAGCACGCTGCTGCAGGAGCTGAGGGAGGTACAGTACAGCGATAAGGATAAGGATATCATATCATACATAAGCTAGCTTGGTGCTATATATTTGTAAGTGAGTGTTTTCATGGATAAAACAAACAGGAAATGGTTTGGCTAACAACATGGTTATAAGTGCATCTTTAAACAGTTAACATGTAAAAGCAAGTTACTTTCATGCTGGTTCCAGTCATTTAATTGGGTTGTCAGCATTATAAACCGCACACAGCTCCAGCTCCATTTCCCTGAACTGTCTCAGCAGAGTAATGAGATGTTGGAGCTGCAGCGCAGCCGGATGCGAGAGGAGATCAGGGAGTACAAGTTTCGTGAGGCGCGGCTGCTCCAGGACTACACTGAGCTGGAGGAGGAGAACATCTCTCTGCAGAAACTGGTGTCAACACTCAGACAGAATCAGGTACAGAGGATTCACACACACAATAGATAATGGATCCGATTTTACATCGGTCCAATGGTGGGACTTTATTTGCCTTAGTCACATATATTAGTATTTCTTTTCTGCCACACACACACAAACACACACACATATCTGCACTATAAATCACTTGTCGAGACAATGTAGACGGAGAATTCGAAGAGAAGTCTTCGATCAATGATCAAACTAGGATCACTATAAGTCACAATCAATATAAACAGCCAACCCCGTTCCTTGTTGGTCTAATTTCAAATAAATGTGTTAAAAGTTGAAATATTCTATTCCTCCTTTACTGGGGATACCTATCAAGCCAGGAACCCCAGTTTGAAAACCACTGTGCTACACAACCCAAGAGCCACAGACTGAAAACCAGTCCACATTAGCTTTCCCCTTCATGTCCAACTTACAAACATTCAATTAAATTAAATTCAATTTTATTTGTATAGCACCAATTCAAATCAGAAGTTATCTCAGGATACTTTTCAAATAGAGCAGGTCTAGACCGAACTTTTGTTCTGCACCTTAGCAAACCAACATTCCCAGAGGAAGTAGAACTCCACTGCTGAAAAGTTCACCAGCTAGATAGCCAACAAGCTGCTCAGCTACAGCACATCAAACAGTGTAAAAAAGTACCTGCAAATGTCAACATTGGTCAGTTCAGAACTGTGTGCTCATTACTCTGCTAACAAAAACCCTGTGAAGGCACCATATGAGTTTAACTGTTGACAGTGATTATTCTAAAACATCAATGTACATACAGTAGAGTAGAGTTAATAAAGTGTTTGTATGTAGGAGTATTTTACATTATTGTTTTGTTAATGAATGTGAATAACATTAAGTGTGAGATGGAGACACCATGGAATAAGGGGCTTAACGCACTGACTACCATAAATACGTACCAAACGTGGGTTCAGCACACGTCAATCAAGATTATAGCAGCGGTGCAGATACGATTACTTGCATATATGATAGTTACGCCACTGTTTCTCTACATGTCTCAGTTCCCCTGCCACTGCAGTACATGTACAACATTGGGATGGGAATTGATAAGAATTGATAAGATTTTACTGATATTAATGCCATTATCGATTCTGCTTACTGGCCCAATTCTTTAGCGATTTTGGGAATCCTGATCAGTTTTGTGGAAAAGCACACAGCTTTGCATCAATGCAGAGTAGTGTTCTTTGCAAAATTAAGTAGTGACAGTTTCTTTCTCTCTGCTATGACTCCTTCTTGTTGCAAGTTTCTAGTAACATAGACACAGACAATGCACAACTGTCCAAAAAACATACCGGCATTGATAAAAGGAACTGATAAGTCATATGATTCCGATGGATCGGACAATTTAGAACTCGAGCCCCATCCCTTCTACAACAGCATGCCCACTAAGGTAGGGATGCACCGGGATGAAATTCTTGGCCAATACAAATGTTTAAAATAACAATTTGGTCAATAGCTGATGCTGATGTTTTTTTGTGGTTATTTATTCACCTTTTTGTGCAAGATAAAGACATCTACAAAGATGAAGATCTTTGCCTTGTTATAGAGTTTTTCACTTCTCATCCAAGATGTGAGACTTAGGGCTTAACAGCTGCTCACTGTCCATGCTGCTGCATAGAGCACATCTGCAATATTCATATTCTGCAATATTGGAGTTAGAAATAACCAACACAACATGTCGCCAGCGCAAAATCAATGAATCACAATAGAACATGGCCCACTGATAACGGTAAACGTCATCTTATTTGTCGAGAGGCCAATGTCAAGGTGAATATCAGCTGATACAGAATAACTGACAATATGAAATCAAGTAACAGGGAACATTGGAAGACATATTTAAAGCCTCAAGCCTAAAGAATGTATGTAGAATTTGATTTGAGAATTAAGAATAAAATTTGACGCAACTTTCAGTTTCAGTTACAGCCTTTGTTTAGGAACTTCCATCACATCAGGGATTTAGTCCATTGGCTAGACAATCCCTCTGTTTTTCCACTCCTGTTTTAGGTGGAGTATGAAGGCCTGAAGCATGAGATCAAGGTCCTGGAGGAGGAGACAGAGGTCCTCAATAGCCAGCTACAGGATGCGCTGCGTTTGAAAGACATCTCAGATGGCCAGCTGGAGGAGGCGCTGGAGTCTCTGAAGAGCGAACGCGAGCAGAAAAACCACCTGCGCAGGGAGCTGGTCCACCACCTGAGCATGTGTGATGTGGCCTACACTGGCAGTGCCCACCTGACATTCACCTCCGCCCCGCCAAGTGGCAGCGCCACCCCGACCACTCTGCTCTCCCCGAATGCAGAAGAGCCAACGAGGTGGATATTGCACAGATGAAACCAATGTGAAAAGAGTGATAAGATGTTCCTTAATTGATTCCCTTAGGAGAAATTCAAGTTGCAGCAGCATAGGGGAATGTAGTGCAAAGAGTACAGAGTGTACAAGTGCAATAAGAATCACAATATAAGAATATTAACAAAATATAATAGAAGATATAAGACTATAAATGAAAAATATATACACTATATGCAATATGCAGTAAAATGGTGTGCAAACATTTTTTGCAGTTTTTTCCTTGAAAAACTAAACTGCAAACTGAAAGATTAGAGATAAATAGTTTAAATAGTTTGTGCCACAGTTTGGTTGAAGTTAAAACCAGTCTTAGTCAGCGGGGCTTGGAGGTACTGGGTGCTCTGGCGTTGTGGAGTTGGATGATGACTGATGGTACAAGCCTCCAAACCGCTTTGAGGCTTGTCGCTGGATTAATCTGTGGCTGACCACAAGAGTTTTACTTGCAAATAGTCAATCCTGTCTCCTACAAATACATTTATAATCCAGTTCATTTGCTTTGCCAAATATGTGTGGAGGGACAGTAATTGTCATAGGAAGTAGAGCACATGCTTGGGCATCCAACAGGCTGGTGGTTTTAGTGACCTGTACAACAAGTCAGTGCGTACCATACCAACAAATGCTATGAAAAGACCCAAAGCAACAATGTTTTTGTCCACGTCTCCATACTTTCTGACTTCCCTAACCTATCTATGACTCTCATCTCCAAGCACATATTTACAGTTGCAATCAGAAATATTCAACCCCCTCACCTAGAAAGACATCATAGTGATGAGGATGAAAGATAATGACATAATTGAGAAAAAAACTCATTAAACAACAAAAACTATTTATTGATACATATTTGAGTTATTTTGACAAGAGGAGTTGACTTAACTTTGAAGTTGAAAGGAAGAATGTAACTCTTTTAACACATGTGCATGTGCAGTATTATTCAACCCCCAGCTTCAGTACTTTGTGGCGCATCCTTTAGCTTTTATAACTTTAACAAACGTTTACGGTTAAGTGCTGACAAGCTTCTTACAACTCTCGATCAGAATCTTTGCCCATTCTTCACGTGCAAAAGCCTCTAGCTCAGTGATGTTTGATGGCTTCCATGCTGCAACTGCCTGCTTTAAATCCCACCAAAGATTTTCAATCGGATTTAAATCTGGTGACTCAGAAGGCCACTCCAGGACGTTCCAGGATCTTTTTCTCAACCAAGCTTTGGTTGACTTGGAGGTTTGCTTGGGATCATTGTTTTGTTGGAAAATCCAATGATCACCAAGGTTTAATTTGTCAACAGAATGCATCACGTTCCTCTTTAAAATGGCCTGGTATTTCTGGGAATCCATGATGCCAGGTACACAATAAAGATTGTCAGTTCCTGCCGCAGAAAAACTGCCCCACATCATCAATGACCCACCTCCGTGGGGATGGTATTCTTCTGGTCATAAGCCTGGCCTTTTGCACGCCAGACATACCGCTGGTCCATATGTCAAAACAGTTTCAGTTTGGTTTCATCAGTCCATAGAACTGTCTCCCAAAACTCTGTAATCTTATCCAAATTCCTCCTGGAATATTCTAGTTGACTTTTGATGTCCCTTGTGGTCAAGAGTGGAATGCGTCTTGGAGTCAGGCCATGAGGTCTTTGTTTATTCAGTGCACGTCTAATTGCTGCCACTGAAGCAATTGTACCAGCCTTCATCGGATCATCCTGTAGGTGTCTTGCAGTCACATGGGGGTTTCTCGTAGTTGTTCTGACTAAGTTGCTAAGGGCCCTTGATGAAATGTTTCTTCCACGGCCAGGCAGGTTTGCAGCTGTTCCATAAGTTTTAAACTTCCTTATAATGCTCCCAATGGTGTCTCTTGGAATACACATTTTTTGGGAAATTTTCTTATACCCAAAGCCCTTCAGGTGTGATGAAATAATCTCCTCTCTCAGCTTTTGTGGAAGCTCCTTTGTCTCTCCCATGATTGCAGCTCATCTTGAATACCTTCATGGGTGGGGTTTATAAATGCATTACAGCTGAAGCAAATGAAGGGTCATTATAGAGTTCCCAAAGGCCTAATTATATTTCTCTCCACTCCACTTTAGGCCATAAAAACTGTCTTTAAAAACAGCTATAGGGGTTGAATAATTGTAACATGGCTATCTTAACAAAATATACTCTTACACACAAATACTACATTATCCATATTCTGTGCTGATTTTATGTATCACTCAACTCATAAAGAAGTAATCCAAAGCAGAATGCTTGCTCTTTGAAAAAACTTTCATTGATAAATCCTCAAAATCTTTGGGGGGTTGAATATTTCTGATTGCAGAAATTGTTTGCTGTAGGATTGATCAAACTTGTAAGAAAATAGTGCATTTGCTGGGGACTATTTTTAGCAGTGGATTAATTGCTCTAGAGAGTATTTGGGGCATCAGAGCAGTGTCTTTAGATTTGAATAAAATACAATGTGTGTGTTAGAATGAAGGAACATGTCACTCAGCAGTGTGCCTCAGCAGGCTGGTTTGACTCTGCACATGGGATTTGTTGACAATAAAAAAAATATAGAATAACATATATCCTTATCCTGCATTGTTGAAACAGAACCATATAAACCTTAAATCATGCTTCAGTTGCTAAAAGCAGATTGTAGCCTTGTAGGGTGCTGAAAAATGTCCCATTGAACTGAAAGCCAGATTTTCCAAAAACCAAAGCCCACTGCTCCGAAGGGCTATTTAAAAAATAAAAAACACAATCCGGTATCACCACCTGATGTACATCAGGAAGGCTGTTCCAGAGAAGAGGGCCATAGTAATAAAAGGATTCTGCACCGTAGGACTTTGGGGGATAATTAAAAGGCCACTACCTGAAGACCTGTGGGTTCCAGAGGGTTCATAGGCTAAAAGCAAATCTGATAAATAAGTAGGACTAAGACCATTAAGAGCTTTATAAACCTCTAAAAGGATCTTAAAATCAATTATGAAGCAAACAGGTAGCTAATGCAGAGTTTCAAATTGGTGTAATGTTCTCTTCCTGGTCCTCGTCAACACACATGCAGAGTTTTTAAGTAATTGTAATTGAGTAATATTCTTCTTAGGGACAAATCATCATCACAAAAAGTAGAGCATTAAAGTAGTCAATCCTGCAGGTAATAATAGTCTTGCCTGCATTAGTGTCTGTTTTGGCCTGAGAGAGAAATGGCTGCACTCTGACAATGGTTCAATGGGACTTTTTTTTTTACTTTTTGGATTTCAGAATAATGGGCCATCCGCATTTGTTGGAGACTAAATGAAATACGTTTACAGTTAACATTTTACAGATGCAGTCCATATGAACATTATATTTAGGCAGTTACACATGACATAAATTAAATAGTTTTATAGAAACAGGTTTGCAATTGTTCATGTCACCAGATGACAGAAAGAATTCCAATGAACAATACGTTGAGTATGAGGACAGAATAAATCTTGGGGGTAAAGAAACCCCCTATATTGCAAAAAGTTGATTTGCAGTCAAACTTTGAATGGCGGTCGACAGGGCTGCCTGACAACAGAATTGGTTTGATCTTCTGGATTCTAAAGACGCTGTACACTACTCTGATCTGTCAGGTGTAACGGCCACCTCCAGGGTGGGACTGGAGCGGGGACAGCTCCTGGGTCTGTGCCCAGGGCTAATGGAGAGTACCGAGGGACGGGTCGGAAAGCTGATGGGACGGTGACATCGGACCTCTTCAGTGAGATGAACCTGACGGAGATCCAGAAACTCAAGCAGCAGCTGATGACGGTGAGTCTGCTCTCTGAGCAACCATGTACTCGAAGCTGACATTAGTGACTATTCAAAATCAGAGTTTTAGACAGAGCAAACAACATACTCATGATGTACTGTTTAGTGACTCGTTTCCTTAGAGCCTAAAGAGATTGGGCTAAAAACGTAATTCTCCTGAGGATACGCACAAATTCAGAGAAAAATTAAGAGACATGGTGCTTTACAGGGAGACACAGTCATGTCCTGACTATTCCAGTGTGTAACATTTAAGATCTATTGTCAGAAATGGAATATAATATTTATAGGTATGTTTTCATTAGTGTATAATCACCTGAATATAGGAATCAATGTGTTTTGTGTTTGTCAAATACAGACGCAAGCCATGTTCAGTTAGTTGAAATCTGCAACCTTAGCCCCTGATGCCACTAATTCCTACATACTGATTCTTTAAGCCAAAACACCATGTCATTCCTTCAGCTAGTACAAAACTGCTCAGCTCTTATCGATCTTTTAAAAATGTGCTTTTCTGAAAAGTTCTATATAAATAAAATACATTGTTATTACTATTAATTTGCGTCAAATTTTAGCTGTGAAAAACACACATGACAAGGTTCATAATCCAGCGGCAGACAACTCTTTAAAAAGCTAAAGCTTTTTTGAATAATTTACTATGAAAACATGCTGACATACAGTATCCCCATTGTGTCCCTGTCTCTCACTTTCTCCTTTTGTCTCGTCTCACGCACTCATTCTTGTTTTCTTTCCTAACAACTTTCTCTCATACATTCCAAGCTCTCTGGGCATCTGTCATACCTAACAACCACTTACTTAATGCATTAAATCATGCTCAGATCACCACAAAGCTGTAGATTGTGTGTATACACACATCCCTGTGTGAATCTGCTTCAGTTCCTGTTGGTGTAATCCATTCCTGCTCCCTGCAGCCTCTCTGATAGGATGGGCTGCAGGAAGAGCTTATTTATATCTCAACTGACACACTACACTATCGACCACTCTACAGTAGATGGTTGGTTTCATTGCTGCCTCTGCTGCTGTCTAGCCTGCTCTTTTAAATGTTAATGAATCCACTTTTGTACTACAGCGTTGTGTCGTTACATCCAATGGAACCTAAAAGTATTTACTTTAATGAGAAAAAGTGCCATCACAGGTACTTGGGCTAATGTTTTGAAGATATCTTTGTGGTTTAATGCTGTTTAAAATATTTGAGACAGTTTTTATAGTTCAGTGTATGTTTAAAGTAGCTCTGGTTGTGGAAGTGCTCACTTTCAGATGGTAAGAGATGTGTTTTTGTGTTGAAGAGTGCATCTCTGACCTGTCTGGATGGTTCTACACCAGTGACAGCTGTCAAATATCTCACACCAGGATTCTTTTACCTTACAAATTTTGTGCATTTTAGCCTTCATTGTCAAGAGAGAGATTGATTATTAGAGAGAGAAACAAAAAGTTGAGCCAGGTTCAAAACTTGTGCCAGACAAACTTGGGCTCCTTGTCAGAGTCCTGTGCATTTGGATCCCTGCTATTCCCATTCAGTGACCTATATGAAATAAATTATGAACCTAAATAATCTATACAGACAGACCCAGTCCCATGACCTGATTTCTCCTTTTGATTATTGTGATAGGTGAATTGGGGACAGTCAGTTTCAACTTCCTGTTATCTGAACACTTCCTTTGCAAAAACAGCCATTCAAAGGACTCAAATTCCAGTGTAATAATTGAAGATATAGCTGCACAATGTGATTTGGGTCCCTGGTTTTTGGATGCTTAGGGATGACGCCAGTTACTCTAATTTTGTGTATGCGTATAAAAAGGTTTGAAAATGTCTTGGATCATACCATATATGCTGTGCTTTTACCTAATCTTGCTGCTGCCCTCTGCAGGTTGAACGTGAGAAAGCAGCACTGATGACCAGCCTGCAGGAGTCCCAGACTCAGCTCCAACACACCCAGGGGGCCCTAACTGAGCAGCATGAGAAGGCCCTCCGTCTTAGCCAGAAAGTCATTGTCCTCCGCCGCTTACATAGACGGGCCCACCCCAACCAGGAAGCCCACGCCAGTGCCACCTCTCAGCTCAACCATGAGGCCCTGATGGAGCTGGACAGGTATGAGGAAGAGGCTGAAGAGGAAGGAAGAACTGAGGAGGATAAGAGTGAGACACTGAACAAAAGTCAGGTATTTGCATACCAGACGCCAGGTCTGGAGATCATGCAGTGCAAGTACCGTGTGGCTGTGACAGAGGTGGTGGAGCTCAAGGCAGAGGTGAGAGCCCTCCATGACCGACTGGCTCAGTGTGCAGCGGGAGCATTGGAGGAGAAGCCAAGGCGAAATGGTCAGCTCCTGAAGTTGGAAAGGCAGGTCGCCTCATTAGAGAAGAGTTGCAGGGAGGGACAGGAGAAGGTAACAATGACATACTGACTGTGTCTGTTTAAACAGAGTGAGAGATGGTTACAGAGATAAAGGATTTCCTCTCTTCTTCTTTCAGATGTCTAGCCTGGAGTTGGAGTTGCAGGCAGCTCAGTCAGCAGCCAGTGAGAGCCAAGGGGCGTTGAACGCAGCTCAGGATGAGTTGGTGACGCTGAGTGAGGAGCTTGCCCAGCTGTACCACCACGTCTGTCTGTGCAACAATGAGACGCCCAACCGTGTCATGCTGGACTACTACAGGTCTGACTGTTGATATATTACCAGGAACAAGCAACATCAAAAGATGCTTTCCAAATTACAGTGATTGAGGCCCAATTTGCAGAGCCTGCATTACAGGGAGGGCAGCTTCAGAACAAAATGCGGTATGAGATCAAAATAAAACCTACTGGGCTAGCTAAGCTTAAAAGGCCGCCTTGTGGAACTGTTCCAATTCTTGGGGGCTGTGGCTCAGAGATAGAGCGGGTCATCCACTAATCCACTAAAGGTTGTTGGTTTGATCCCCGGCTCCTCCCCGCTGCATGTTGAAATATCCTTGAGCAAGATACTGAACCCCAAATTTGCGCATGTTGCTACGTCGTCAGTGTGTGAATGTGTATGAATGTGTTTTCTTTTCGATGGGCTTTGCCATCACTGTGTGTGAAAGGGCGAATGTGGCATTTAGTATAAAAGCGCTTTGAGTGGTCGGAAGACTAGAAAGGCGTTATACAAGTACAGTCCATTTACCATTTACTTCTCACGCCACAAATGTCTTGAGCACTGCTCTTAGCAGCTGCTTCAGTCCAATTCTATGTCCCCAGCCAGCGGAAGTGTTGGGTCTTTAAGACCTTGCAGACAGGAAACTACATTAGGTATTTCCAGGTCAATCTCATTCCATTTCTGGGCCTACCCGTGTCTGTCTGGTAACCCACCTTTGCCTGGCCTCCATCTGGCCCCTTCTCTGGGGCCAATCAGCCTTAGATGTCTCTTCTAGGGAGTTCTTGGGAAGGAAGGTGCTTTATTTATTAAAATGCAATTTCATTTATTTGAGATGACAAAAGTATGTTTACAGGCATCCATACTGGTATATGGATACCCTAGTGGCTGGCAGACCTCACATTGATAACACCAGCTTAGAGCATTTCACCACACTGGCAACAGGGAGGTAGAATGAGTAGACAAACTGTATTTCAACAGTAGGAGGTAGGCTTAAACTCCACAGTAGGTGAATATCTGCTGCAGATAACAATAAATGTTCTGCTGGTTAAAAAAATTTAATTCATTTTGTTTTTCTTCTAGACAAGGCAGAGGGCTCAGGGGCCTCAGTGCCAGTCTTAAAGCCATGTCTTCGGACAACAGCAAAGTTCTCCTTACACCACGCCTCGCCAGGCGGCTGGCCGCTGTCGCTTCGACCACTTCATCTCCTGGGCAGTCGCGGAGCCCCTCGGAGTCTCCATCCAAGGAGCCCCTGTCTAGGGAGGGTGGGAGAGAGGAGAAGGAGCTGGACAGAGAGGGCCTCCAGGTGCCATCTGAGCAGAGCCTGCCGCCCTGCACGCCTCCGACCCGCTCGCCCAGCATCAGTGCCTCTTCATCATCGTCGTCATCGTCATCGCCTGCCCTGGAGCCAGCTGGTGAGCTGCGCAGGGAGCCCATGAACATCTACAACCTCAACGCCATCATTAGAGACCAGGTAGAACACACTTGATCAGTGGCAGTGGAATTCCCTTTCTGCTTTCCTCCCTCTCGACTTTTCAGATCTGCATTATAATTCCTCTCCTTCCTTCCTGTTCATTTACCCTCCATCTTCCACTTTTAACCAATTGATAACTTCCCTTCTGCTCTTGCGTTTCCTCTTAAGCACCTCCAAAATGAAGTGGACCTTCTTTATCCTCTCATCTCCTCTTGTGTTCACCTCCTATCTTCTCCGCCTCTCTCCTTTCTCTCCCCCAGGTGAAGCACCTCCAGCGGGCGGTAGACAGGTCTCTGCAGCTGTCCAGACAGAGAGCTGCGGCCAGGGAACTAGCCCCTCTCCTGGACAAGGACAAGGAGAGCTGCATGGAGGAGATCCTGAAGCTCAAGTCTCTGCTCAGCACCAAGAGAGAGCAAATAGCCACCCTCAGACTGGTGCTCAAGGCTAACAAACAGGTGAGGCGTATGAGGTATTCATGTTATTTTGGACTGTGTAATTCGAATGATGTGGCAATGTTTTGGGTATTGGTTAACAATGCCTCTAGGGCTGGGCTATTCAATTGGCGGCCCCAAGGCCAGGTCCGGCCCCTGAGGGATTTTGTACCGGCCCTTGGAGTGAAGTGTAGTTATTACATATTGGTAGTCTCATACAGCGCATGACTATGGTTAATTGTACATTCTTTCGTGCAGTAGTAGGCGGTATGCACCCCTTTAAGGCATGGTGTCAAACAGGTAGAATATCTGTTTCAGCCTGACATATATTTTAGGGGACCACACATGACCAATCAAAGTCGCCCATTTGCGCTCTAGTGCCGCGCTCTGACCGCGCTGACTTTCTTTCAAGCCAAGCACGAAGTTTGACTAACGAGAAAAAAATGTCTCTCTCTACCTTAAAAAAAAGAAAAGTTCAACAATGGATGGACAGAGAAATACGCGTTTATTGCCGTTGATGCGAATCCTGTGTGTTTAATCTGCAACGAGTGCCTCGCTGTGTGCAAGGAATATAATTTGAGAAGACATTTCAAGACAACACATGCTAACTTTGATGCTACTTTCCCACCGGGCTCTGCTGCTCGGCGGCAGAAGATAACAGGGCTTACATCTTGTTATGAGCAAAGACGTCGCATTTTGTTTCGGGCCTGTACGGATCAAGAGAGAGCAACTGCAGCATCGTTACGAGTGGCATGGATATTGGGCAAAAAGAAAAAGCCGTTTACAGACTCAGAGACAGTCAAGGAGTGTATGCTGGCATCCACTCAGGAGGTGGTAACAGATGAGAAGACCCAAAAAAACATTATCGATTCGATCAAGCAAATTCCAATTTCTGACACGTCAAATATGAGGAGAGTCGAGTCCCTTGCATCGGACATTTTCGAGATGCTTTTGGACAAGCTGAGGAAGGCCGAGGTGATGTCTTTTGCCGTGGATGAGTTGACTGATAACAGTGATGTTGTACAGCTGTGCCTCTATGTGCGATTTTTTGATGGGGAATGTTTTTGTGAGGATCTGCTTGGACTAATTCCCATGGAGGGGCACACTACCGGTGAGATTCTCTTCACCAAAATTGCTTCATTCTTTGAGGAGAACAACTTGGATTTGGCGCGCATCAACATGTTGGTGACAGATGGTGCGCCCTTGATGGCGGGCAGGAATCAGAGGCTCGACGGGAGGATGGCAGCTGCGGCTCTGCATTGCCTCATCCACCAAAGCGTCCTGTGTGCCAAGCTCAGTGGTGAGTTAAAAGAGACCATGGACTCTGTCATGGCAATTATAAACTTCATCCGCTGTACCTCCAGTTTACAGCACCGCCTGTTGACCGACATGTCAACATGACATGAATATAAAGATTTGCTCATTCACAATGACATTAGATGGCTTAGCAAAGGGTTTTTGTGAACTAAGAGAGGAGATTCTGGTGTTTCTCCGGTCTTCAAAATTGAATAAAGCTGGCAAGTTTCTGTCTCTGATGGAAAATGATGAGTTTAATGCCGCTGTTTGCTTTTTGAGCGACGTTTTCCATCATTTGAACCAACTCAACATGGAGTTGCAGGGCAGAGATAAAACAGTTGCAGAACTTGTGGAGAAACTTGATGCTTTTCAAAGAAAGCACTCACTCTTCTCTGCTGATCTTTGTCCTGGCAAGATGCTCCACTTCCCTACATTGAGGAAATCTTGCCTGCAAATTACTGAGGTGATGTCAGGGTTTATTGACTCATTGAAAAACAACTTTGCCACTAGGTTTGAGGATTTCAGCATCTCCAGTGAAGTGATGAGATTTGTGAAGGGCCCTTTCTGTGTGAATGTTGAGGCAGACTTTGCATTGAGAGGGAAGGAGTTGGTATCGTCATTGGATGAGGGGTCTTTACAACTGGAACTCACTGACATTCAGTCGTCAGATGACTTGCGACAGTCATTACAGCAGGCAGGTTTTGAAAAATTCTGGACCCATGAAGTCAGCCGAGAGAAATTTCCACATTCAAAGGGTCTTGCACTTTTTCTTCCGACAATGTTTGGCTCAACATACACTTGTGAGTCGTCATTCTCACACATGAATGCCATTAAAACTCACAATCGCATATCCCTCACTGACCAGCATCTGCAACACTGCTTGCGCATTGCCCTGACAACATATACACCTGACTTCACTGCTCTTGCCAAGTCAAAAAAATGCCTTTCTCTCATTAGATGGCAAATGTTGGCAAACTATTTTGAACAGTGTGATGCAATTAACATGTTATTCACCCCATATTATGCACTTAATGTTTTTCTTGATGTGGTATTATTGTTGAATGCAGTTTGAAATGTTTTGCCTTGATAAAGTGCCATGCACTGTTATGTTGTTATAATTCTATTCTATACCATACTATGCACTTTGGTTTTATTCTTGTTGGTGCACTTGGAATTTAAGTTGTTTGTTAGTTAAATTAATGAAATTCTAAACAACTGATATGGCTCACCTAAACTAAGTGATGCAATTTGAAATACATTGCCTTGATAAAATACCATGCACTGTTTTGATGTTTTAATTCTATTCTGTACCACACTATGCACTTTGGTTTTATTTTTGTTGGTGGACATACATTTGATGTTGCCTGTCACTCAAATGAGTGCAATCTTAAATATCTGTGATATGGCTGACCTAGACTGAGTGTTAAGGTGTCTGATTTATGTTCAAAATGGACAGAAGTGAGTACAGTAGTAGTCCATGTATGGATTTATGGGGCAGTCCATTTTATTTTATTAGAAGGAAAAAAGTGTGAGTTGTATTCAGTTACCATTTAGCTGCATTTATGTTTTTACCAGTGGAGAAGGGGGACAATTTGATGTTTCTGAGAAATATTTCCCTCTTTACTTGTAACACTGAAATGTATCTCCTCATTGTCAATTGAGGATAACAAGCTTTAAAGTTGTGTTGGTACAGTTATGTGCAATTAAGTGGATGTTTTCTGTTGGTTAATTGCATTTCTCTAATTGTCTGTGTCTCTGATTTTTCAACATTGTATTGCCATTTGAATGTAACAATGCCTTGGGCCTATGTGTCTTAGTGCATCATAATGTGCACATGTTGTTCTGCATTTACAAAATAGAATATATTGATTCCTTAAGTATGTTGTTGTAATTTCTTTATTTGTTACCATAATTACTCATATTCTCCAGCCCCTTATTTTGCCTCAGTTTCATGAACTGGCCCCAATTCCAAATTAATTGAATAGCCCTGCTCTAGGGAATGAGTCCAACAGTTTATAGACCAACTGTTTACTGGCCTATGCTTCCCTAAGACACATCAACCAATACAGCTGATTGAAGGACACACTTGGCCAAACCTTTACCCCTTTGCTATTAGTTTATATTGCCTGTTTTATATTGTATGGCCCAAGTAATGTGGGCATCAGTGATAGTGATAGTACAGAGGCTACAACTAACATTATCCACTGAGAGTATGTCTGTCCATTTGATAAAAAAGAAATGACAAGAGTTGCAGGAATGAGTCCTAAAACCACCTCATCTCAAAGTCAATGGATTTTCTTAATGGGTTTTTGGTTAAGTTTAAGACATATGTTTTGTTCTATGACATAAAACAAATCAGTAAATACCCCATCTGTGAATTCTGAAGTCTTAAAAAAGGCAGTTGCTAGCAAGAAACATGTATCATAAACTTAAAACTTCTAAAAACACAGAAAACTGAATTTACAATCCGTTTGTGTGTTCACCTAGACGGCAGAGGGGGCTCTGGCCAACCTGAAGAGTAAGTATGAGGCGGAGAAGTCCATGGTGACTGACACCATGATGAAGCTGAGGAACGAGCTGAAGGCCCTGAAAGAGGATGCTGCCACGTTCTCCTCTCTGCGGGCAATGTTTGCAACCAGGTCAGAGACAAAAGCAACTGAGGTCCTCTACTCAGTTGTTTTTTACCTTAACAATGACAATGTGAAATATATTACTTTGCAAGGATGAAGCCACAGAGCAGTTGCCCTCCGGTCTACTTTGGACCGGCCCAAAAATCTATTAATATACCTTTTCAAGTTACAATATCAAGACTTCTGCAGTTATATTCAAGAAGACACACAACAGTTTTAGTTTTCATATCAGTTCTTTCATTTCTCAATGTATCAATATAAGTTACATTTTCTCTCAGTCCAACAATCGATAAAAGGAGAAGGTTGACATTTTGGGAAATGAGCTTATTCACTTTTATGGCTGAGAGTTAGATGAGAAGATTGATACCGCTTGTATCTGCTATTTTTCAACCCTCTTTCAACCTGCTTAAACTTGCTCTGTTCAGGTGTGACGAGTACGTGACCCAGCTGGATGAGATGCAGAGGCAGCTGGCTGCAGCGGAGGATGAGAAGAAGACTCTGAACTCCCTCCTGCGGATGGCCATCCAGCAGAAACTGGCCCTCACCCAGCGCCTAGAGGATTTGGCCTTCGATCAAGAGCAGACCCACCGCACTCGTGGGAGCAGGCTGACCCGCAGGAAGACCAGCACCCCCAAAGTAAGTCCCCCGGCCTCCACTTCGGCCTCCAATCTAGCCCAAGACTCCACTTCATCTTTGGCCCCCGTCAGCATCACCCTTTCAGGCCTTACTAGTCCTACGTCAATGCTTCCCAATGATCCCACTGCGCCCCTTAGCCCCTCTGTGGTCAGTGCAGCTGCTGCAGCTCTGGCTTCAGCTCTCACCTCTCCTACGTCACACGTACCCCCTCGCAGTCCATCATCCCCAGCGGTTGCCTCATTAGCTGGCCCTCCAGCACCAGAGAGCCCCCCATCTCTGGAGGCCCCATCCTCTCCCTCGGCGCGGACCCCGCCCTCAACCCCTCTGAGGCTGGCTCACTCCCAGTGGACCCTGGGGCTGCGAACGTTTGTGGTTGACTCCCACAGTTTCAGTGTCAACATCTCCCCCGCTCTGCCCCGTAGCTCTGGCCTCTCCAGGCCCTACACCCCAGACTCTCATGCCTCTCCCCCTTCCACCTCCTCCACCACCACCACCAGGCACTCCCAGCCAGGATCTGCCCCCTCCTCTCCCTACCGTTCCCCTACTCTGGGGCTCAGGCGCTCCACGTGGAGCCCCTCACTCCGAACTCGGCCCTTGTCCACCCTGACACGCTCTTCTGTCCTCCACACTCCTTACTCCTCCTCCCACTCCCCATCTTCCTCCCACAGTTATTCCCCTACCTACTATAGCTCCTCTCCTGCTTTTACCCCCTCTAGCTCCTACCTCACCTCTGGCACCTCCACCTCCTTCAGCCACTCCACTCACTACACCCCCCTCTACCCCAGATACTTCAGTTCTTATCGGCCCCGGCACTGATGTCCTACTGTAAGTCCTTTACTAGAAGCCCTTTGAAGGCTTTTCCACCAGGCTCCTTATTGACACCAAAACTGCAACTCTCATCATCCGTCTCTTTTTGTCACCTGAGAGAGTGCAGGCTCACAGAGAGGAGGACAGAGTGGTTTCCTGTTTCCCAGTTCCTGTTTTCCTGTGCCTAAGCTTTGGCCAATGGGTTCTGAATGTTCAGTGACTTTGCTCAGGGATTTGACATAAGGAGCACAAGCGGCCCCGCCTTCCTTTTATTCTGAGGCTGCTGATTGGTCTACAGGAGGATGTTAATAGAGACTTTTTAATGAGAGTTTTTAGCATTTAGGTTCTTCAGGTTGAGACCACACATGCATGGAAGTGATTAAATCGCAGAGACATTCAGACATTGACTGGACACTTGGCGGACGCTTTCATAGATTTGAATGAGGGCCATGACACATTAAATACTGTCCTCTATATTCAATGTAATATCCACTCTGTTTTAAATGGTAGTGAGTCTCATATACTGTATACACAAACACTGTAAACCACATGTCTTTCAGTGCAAGCATTCTCCTTTGTTGATGAGGTACTTGGATGCTTAAGGGTTCAGTATGATTCAAACTAAGTGTTGTCCGAACATGTCTGAAGGCAAAAGTATACCCGTTTTGGATGGTCACACACAAAGGTGGGGTAAGATGTCTGTTGTCCAAGAGAGGGGTGAGACCAATAATCTGTCCTGTGATGGTGATACTCATGTGAATAATGTGTTTGACATCTACGCACTTGGGCCAAAGCCAAAGGTGACTTCTTCAAATGTCTTGTTTGGCCCAGAACCCAAAGATATTAAGTTTATTGTCAAAAAGGACTAACAAAACCAGAAAATATTCACATTTGAAAAGTTTAAAGAGTTTGAGAGGCTCTTCGGCTTTCCAACAAGAACTAAGATTGAAGCATACTGACTCCTTTAGTGTTTTAGCTTTGATTACACTCTATAATCTATCTCTCACACGCACTTGAATGATGAGACAGCTGTGGACAAGGACTGATGAACTATGGTCATTGGTACGCACTGTATATTTTCTGTCACACTTTCCAAAAAGAAACCATCAGAGCACCTCAATGAGTATCCTTCATCTCTTGTCCAGGGTTGTTGCCATCAGCAGCTCAACCTTTAGCAACTTTTGTCCATCTCTAGCACCACCCAGTGGTTTGTTCTTATATAGCCATGTACACAGCTATGCATGTTCACGTTTGGATGCTCTTATACTGCAAACTTCCTTCCCCTTCCACATGAAAAATTGATCTGATAGAGGTGCAGGCTGTATGGAATGTCGTGTCAGGGAAGAACTTATGAGAAGGAGGAAGGGAGGTGGAGAGCACTCAAACATGGCATATGACCAGTGTAGGATTAGCTAAATACCATAGTCTAGTCATTGTACAAAGAAGCAACATGACTTGGAGTTATTTTCTGGGATGTATCTCAATAGTCTGAAGTTGTTTTCTCCTAGTTTCTTATTTGAACCTGCTTTAAGTATATCAACTATTTAAAAGCCCTGCTAAAATAAAAAATTCTCCCCCAGAAACCTGACAAATAAAAATTTCCTCCAACATATCACCCATTAGTTACAGCAGGGTGCAAGTTTGAGCAACAGTTAGCAACACACTGGAGGGGATTAATCTTTCAATAATTTGCAAATTACTTAATTTGGTCCAAGTTCAGTTTCCACGCAAGTTAAGACCTGAACCCTTGTGCAAATCGGCCTCTTTCTCATTCTTTGCTCATTTTTAAACCCTAAACCAGACTGTTGTCTCTTGCTGTTCCTATTTGCTTACTACAGATGACTTATTTGTTATTTGAAACAAATTCAGAATCCAGCAATTTTGTAACCACATGCTGAAATTAGGGAATTTACTCAACAAACAGGTGATTCAGAAAGTACAACCACATGACCACATGACTTAGTATCTTTATATCCACACAGTGGTAATTCAAGACTATTCTGACTCACCATCATACTGACTTCAGAGTTGGTAAACTCACAACGTAGCACCCTATTGTGCCTATGAGGCCATCTGCAGAGGTTCGTCCTGTAACACAGAAGGAATGTATTCAGGTTATGTGAAGGCTTGTTCACGGCACTGCACCAAACTCAGGGAAAGTGACGCACCTCATTCAAACTGGAATGAGTCAACAACCAAACCAGAATGACTACTGACATAACAATGTTTTGAATGAGAGAGAAGATCTCCTAAATTAGATTTTAGATAGGTTCTAGTCAAGTTAAAGAAAGGAATTCTGAAATTGTAAGAAATTTGCTTCTTACCCAGACTCACACGAGAAGACTGATATCAATTTCATCTGACTGTCCAGTGCAGAGATAGGCCTGGGGTTTGTGTAGCCTAGCTTACATAGCAAAAATGGTCTGGCCAATCGGCGGTCCACACAGCCCCCTTACACTCGGCCCAAAGGCGGCAATGAATTACTGTTCACTGGTGGTCCAGATCTGACCCATGACATAACCATACCTCAGCCAACTGTATAACCAACCCTATTCTGGCCCTATTTTGGACCAGACAAGTTTAAAGTTTTTGTTTGTTTTTGGCAATGGTTTACAAGTGTTTTAGGTATTTCCGCTATACACTAGCTGTCAGAAATTCCTGATATCTTTGACACAGAATTAGAACTAAGACAGTCGTGAATGTTTTTTTCCACTCTGTGGCCCATAATTATGGTCTGCGCGATATGGACCATAAATCTGAATACACCTTCCAGGAACTCTTCTGTTTACCCATCATTAGCTAGCAAGCTGTAGTCACCAGTACATCCAAACCTCTGCACTGGAATCACAATTGATGGTGATCTTCTCATTTGACTGGAGTTGACAGCAAACAAATTTCTTAAAATTCTTTTTTGATGTGATTTGAACTGTTGGCTAATATCATATCTGAGATCCTACCAGTTCAGCACACATGAGACCATATTCCCTGTGTCTGTGTGTGCCTTACAAAGCCTATTATACAGTACCTACACAGTGTAGCCTAATAACAATGCCTGTCTGGAATTCTTTTTAAAATGTGCTTTCTTCAATTTTTATTTCCACACCTGCACCTCAGGCTAAACTGCTGGTTTTGTGTGTATTTGTTTTTGGCTTGGATTTCTTTCAGTTGGGTGGAAACTGACTCATCAAAGTCAGACAATAGTTGTTACTGTTAGTAGATATATTTGAGTGCTGTCCAGAATACTTACTTGGCAAATACTTGCCCAAGTCCCTTTCAACTTTTCTCCAAAGTTCACCGTCCCTTCCACTTTTGCATCATTGGATGGAACCTTTAATCTGTACTTTCCTGTTTCTTTCCTTATCTATTAATTAAGGCTGTCTGCTGTCTATTGACATTTGTCTAACACTGTTAATGGGTGCACCTTCTTCACGACAACACACACGTTTTTCAATATGCAACATGGGGCAAAAACTCATTTGACAGCACCTTTATTTTCTAGATTTCTGATTGGCTCCTTTGAAAGTAGTCTTTGCCCTGATGGGCTCACATATTGCCATTATTTTTTTTCTACTGTAAACAATCTAGTTTGATCTAGTTAGTTCTGTATGCTACCACTTGCTCAATGATTTATTATTGGCAAATAGTGACAGAAGCATAACAACAAAATCTTTTAGACACACAGAGTTGGACTGGATGTTCATTTACTAAGGCCCTCCCTGATCTTTAAATCTTTGCTGCACTCACAGTCAGCACTAAAGCTGATCAATTTATTTGAAGCCAGGCCTGGATGTAATTTCAATCAGATAATTAGCAAGACATTTTCATAACTTCACTTATGGGACACACCAGTGGTCCTTGTTTACACTATTTAGTACAAATTGCATATTTTACTGTGACCCTTTTCTGAAGAATGTATGGTTTCAGATTTTTTTATGATTTTCTTCCCTCTAAACTATCAGCCTTTATTTCCCACTGCGTGAAAATTATCATAACTGATTAACAAAAAAGTTACTTGAAACTTCCTAGTCCTGATCTACAAGTGCCATACTACATAATGGTATACATAGGTATATAATCTCTGTCTCCTGGAAACATGGCACTACAGTTATTGAGCAGCTCATAAGCATAAGTTATTATGGGAAGAATGTTAAAAATAACAAGCTATTTCATCATAGGAAATATCATCAGCCACCTAGGTGTGAAACAATGTCAGGCAGGTGCAAGTAAAAAAAAGAAATATGTGATTTACCTTGAACAATAAAGGTCTCCTTTCTTACAGTCTATATAAACCATGTAAACCTATTGTGACATCACCAATTTGTTTGTGGTATACCGTTTTGAAGTCTTGAGTTCGGCAATATGGTTGCGCCATGTTGGTTTTTTACAGCAAGTAGCAGTGACGTACCGCTAGTTGAGCTGCTCTCCTTGGCTGCTATTAGTTGCGACCACAGCAAAAAACAATGGCAGCTCGTCTGGTCACACACCATCTTGTATTCCAGATAAACAGTACACTAAAATATGTTTGTGAAAAGATTTGAGGCAAAAAATTATCAATGCAGTGACAGAATCTTGATTCATATTTGATCATCACTGCCTAGTTTGAAAGTTTGATCTGAGTTTGGTGCGTTGAGCTGGACAGACTCACTGAGAATGACTTGTCAATCACAAGGTAGCCACGCCCTAAAGCATAACCTGCTTTATTGTCTGTTTTACTCTAAATGGGACCATATTTTACTAAATGAACATCATGCTGTATGGAAAAAGACTGAAACTAGAGATTGAGACCATAAACTCATTAGGAAACTGTTTACTGAGACAATAAATCAAGTCAGAAGTCGGCTTATTTTTCAATAAAACTCCATACTATCAGACTATTTTTTTTTTGTTGCAGCCCTTGGAGCTCCCCTCGCTGGCTATCACAAAGAATGCAGACTTCTGCATTGGCCTCACTTCCTTCATTTCAGATCCAGAAGTTCTGTCCACTAATTTTATACTGTCAGTGTCACTGACTGGAGAGCTGCTCAGCAGCAGTGTGTTCAGTGCTGCCACTAGTGGCTGGAAGTTATTTTATACCAATTCCAATAAATAAAATGGTTCCCCAGAAAAAAGAGAGACCTTTCTCAGTCGTGGGTAAATCCAGTTTTTTTTTTATGACTTAAATAGTTTTTTCCCTTTATATAGGCAATATGATGAGTTTATTTATAGCCTTTTCAAATCCCACAAGCTGCTTAGTACCTGAAATTACCCTGTTCCAGGAGACAGTGATGAAGGACATCATGTCACAATTAATTTCTTGTCAGTTACATTGTTGCTCTGTGGTAATGCAAAAAACTTCAAGTTGATGTTTAAAACAGTAGTAAACAAATAATGGTCTGGGAAGTAGGGAAAACATTTTAAAATGTAAAATACCACAGTGAGATTTTGAAATTTGTCAGCAGTAATGTTGATGAGTTTTATTGGGCTAGATCATGGTCCCTTAATGACCACTAATAACACACCCCGCAGCCATGTGAAATTGGTCCCAAACCATCAATGCTTTATGAAAAAGATCTGATGTATTTGTTGTTTGAGATATTGTTAATCCAGTTGAAAAGCTTTTGGTACATATCTTATTGTCTGCTGTTATTGTGTCAGCTAGTCAGCAATACTGCAAGATTATCACTCAGACAGACTAATATTTTCTATATTATGGTATATTTACTCAAATGGACATCCAAGATTTTATTAGTTGAGGAAAAGTCAAGACAATTCAAAAGTGGACTTAAATAGAAGGAATATTAACATTTTGTGTGGGTGTAACTTGTATTTTGGCTGAGGTAAAATAAGGAAACCATTGTGATCTCCTCTCTGTGATACCCTTGCTCTGTCCAAAGAGACATACAACTCACACAAACACATCTCCCTGTTCTCCGCCAACGTATGCAAAAGTTTGATTAAGAGAAAATGTAAGCAATGAGAGACAACCTGAAGCCTGTCAAATGTCGTTTTCTGCCCCATGGTACACCTACTGGAATGAATGTGCGGTTCCATGTATATGCTGTTGTACAGTAAACTGTGGGTGTTCTCTCAGATGGGACCCAAAGGAAAAGGTTTCATGCAATAGGCAAATGGTAAAGTTGATACCTTTGCCAGCTTGGCTGGAGTTTGATTGGTGTACTATTGGCAGCCACCTCTGGAGAGAATGATATGGTGAAATATTCTCCACAGGCTGAATAAATGTAAAGCAGTGTTGGAGAGAAAGGTTTTTATTCAGTCTGAAAATGTTCCATTAACGCTTTGACGCAAATAGCACACTTGCTGTGTGTTCTTGAAGATGCTGACCTTATTTTAGCAAAATATAAGGAGTTTTTCCATACAGACATTCCATAAAGCAAAAGAGAGAAATCATCTTCTTGGTTAGTTATGACTATAGTGGCACAGAACCAAAGAACAGTAGTTTGTCAGAATATGAGTCAGTGGTGAAACTGAGTGGTATAAGTGAAGATCTGACTAAAGCATGGACATATTCCTTTCTTAGTTTGTGACTGTAGTAGTTAAATATCTTGGAAGAGCTCTAGGCTAGAATCAATACACCAAGATTGCAGTGGCAACATAGGGGGTCCTCTCAAGGTTGGTCTGTCAATGGAAGAAACTTAAGCTGTCTTCGCCAGTGCCTAAATTGGTACAAAAAAGGTGCCAGTACCCTAATTCAGTACCGTACCCACGACATACCCTAACCCAAATTGTTTTACTTTTATCCATTGTCAGCACTGGGTTCTCAGCATTTAGCTAGATTTACTAGACCCTTGGTCTAACACCTCACTCTTCATGCCTAAACCTAAACAACCATACCAACAAAGGTAAATAACGCTTGCCAATCAGAGGCAGGGTCTTGGCAGAATGTCGAATGGAAGCAAAGTCAAATGCAGGTGTTACACAGGTATTTAGGTGTGCATACCTACACTTATCAGGAAGTACTGGTACTCATGGGGACAAGGGGGTGCTGGTGCTCAGTACTGGTAAGTACTGTCCCATTTCAGGCACTGGTCTCCACTCAAAAAGTGCCAAATATTTTGTATATATATATATATATTGAAAATAAGTTTGTGCCAATTTAGGTGGATTTTTGGCCATGAGTGCTGTAATGGTAGCTAAAATTACTTAATCCATCACACTGAATAAAGTAGAAGTAAAAACCAAGATTGTTCTCACCATTGGCAGTTGTTCTCTTCAGCAGGCCAGGTGTGATACTGCAGTAGTATAGGGTCAAATTGAGAACAGTGAGAACTCCAAGCTTCTGTTGCAGAAGAAACAGACAGAAAATATCTGTCAGAACACAAATGACTAAAAAATCCAGCCCTGTAATCTTGCTCAACAGTACAGAATGTAGACAAACATTGCTAGATTGGTCATAGACGTATTATACCTTTTTAAAATACGATGTAAAATTGCTTACTTAACAAACAACATTCCCCACAAGCCCAGGACTGTGAGAGACTGTGGGCTTCCTCTCAGACAAATCTAAGAAAAAGCCCCCCTGCCACATAGATAAATAATAAACTCCCCCACAACTCTCATAAACCATAAGGGGCATGGCTAGGTGCTACGTCATCATATCCAAAAAGCCACTTCCGTGTCCATTCGCTTCGGAGTATTAGGGCCATACTAAGTGAAAAAAATTATTATTTTTGGTGGAAAAATCACGAAATTATGAGAATAAAGTCATAATATTACGAAAATAAAGTCATAACTGTTTAACGACAAAATTATGAATACGTTATCTTACCTGTCGACTGTATGGTACGACTGAGACAAACAGCGGCTGCTGGGCTCAGACTGAGGCTGCTGTTTGGTTGAAGTGCTCACATCAGATCTTGATAACTCTATCGAAGCCTTTCTCTCATTAAAATGACTTTTTTTCTTGTATTATTATTACATTATTCTCGTAACATTACAACTTTATTCTCGCAATATAATGACTTTATTCTCGTAATTTCCCCCCAAAAAAAGTAGTGCAGTGCTGTATCCCGTGTTGCAATAACAGAAACGACGTGAACAAAACGATCTCTTATTGCCGATTTCCCCTCGATGAAAAAGAGAAGAAGAGATGGCTGAAGTCGGTTTGTTTTGGGTGCCGGGGCCCTCTTCAGCACTTTCCCTGTTAGACTTCCACCTGACATTGAACTGACTGTTATTACCCTATTGGAATTATAGGAGTTTTTGAACAGACTTTGGGATGTCAGTAAAGTAGGCTGTCACTGTATAATAGGTGACCAGTTCCTGTGCTGTAGCCATTGTTGTTTACGTGACCTAAAAATGCTAATGGACACAGAAGTGATTCCTAACGATTCCTTACGTCACACTAGCCATCCCCACAACTAATCATGGATGTATTAATATGCTATATCCTTGTACATTTAACACTGAACCCAAAAGGCAGACACTTGACAAGTAGATATGGAGATAAAACAAGTTATTTTTATTTAATGTACAAGCAGGACTGGTGGAATGTGAGATGGTGCCTGGCTGGATGTTGAGGCTGTGATGAGGATGAGTTATCCAGGGGAGGCTCAGCAGAGGGAAACCCAGGGATGATAGCTGGAATCTGAACTGGTAGAACACAAAGTAAAAACTAACTAGACTGATTGGCAAACTAAACCACTGTAGCTTCAGAGCAGGAAGCATAGCACAACCGTGAGTGGAACTAAGATCTGGCAGGGAGTGGCTGTGAGTGCAGAGTTCTTGAAGACAGTGGTGATTGCTTAATGGCAGGCAGGTGTGCAGAGAGCACAGAACTAGGAGCCAGAGTGAGGAAGGAGACCACACCCATACACAGGGCACAACAAGAACAGCACAGGGAAACAGAGGGACAGCCATGGCCATGACAAACTAAATATTACAGGAAAGGTTTATTTTAAATAACACATCAGTAATCTCATATATTTTCATTATAAATCTTGAATTCTTTTGATAATATATGTTTTTAAATTAATTCATTTAATTTTGGAAAAACAAGATACCTCCATGTACCACTAGAAGGCACTTGTGTACCACCAGTCCTACACATACCACAGATCGAGAACCAGTGTGATAAAATGTGTATAAGTAACTCCTGGAACATGTACTGAGTTACAGGAGTTAGAACAGTTAAACAGTGAGGTGACATAAGCTCTCTCCACTCCTTGTCAGCATTGGCAGTAGTGAGGAAGAGGAACTGCAATCTAATTAGGGTTTGAGTAACACCAAGAGTCAAAATTATCTCTAGCACCACTATCTTTGATTGGAATCAGTTGCCGTGTTCAGATTGGAATTTTAAATACATCCATGATGACATTAACAGTCCAACGATGAGGAGCCCAACCTACCTAAGGAAAATAAACCACTTAGGCTCTCTCTGCAGGGCTTACGTTGCAAAGTACTGTAGTTATCTTCCTTTTTGCCTTCTGGTCTAATCTTGCTTAGTCAGAGAAAGGGGCTTTGAGGCTCCAACCCTTTTTTTATGAAATGTCTGTCAAGCTAAAACTCCAATCTTCTTTCACTATCACGCTGCGACACTGACCATATCACACAACACTATAGAATGACACTTTTGTTTCATTGTGATCAAACCTTTCTTGCTGGGAGTTGTGTCCCAGTGTACTGTAAGCAGCACCTTTAAGCTAACACCCCGCTGCGCAAACATCCAGACTGTTAAATGTCATATGTGTCCGATGCCTGTTCGCTGTCTGACCACTTTAAATGCACGTGTACATACCAAGTATTTTAAAGCTTTAACTGTACAGTGTTATGTTAATATATACTGTAAATATCTATGAATGAATACTTTGTGTGTGGTATTTTGTGACTGGGTGGTTGATCATCATTCTCCTCCATTATTCCACACATAATCATTATTGTAATCTCTATTTGTAATTCAGACACTATACCTAGCCAGTATGGCTCTTCAACACAACAAAACCTAACCTCACTTTCCATCTAAATACTAAATCCAACTCAACCTTAACCTTACTGATGCATAGGTAAGTGTTAAGTCCTTGATTTTTTTTCCTTTGGACAAGTCTTTATTAAATCTTAATTATCCACAGTGTATATTTACTGTGTGCTGTACATCTAACAGTGTCAGTCTCTTGCAGATCGTCAGTAGCCTTCTGCCACAGTGCCGCTCCTCGTACCCTCCCCACAGCTGAGGGTTTGAGCGTCCTCAACCCCCTTCACGGGTAAAAGCAACATCACGGTCACACTACCAGCTCCTCCTTTATGCTACAAGTTGTCCCATTTTTCTCCAATTATAGAACACATAGATTTTAAAATATTATCTTGTTAGTCTGAAGACTGGTTGAGTGCCCCTTAAAAATACAAAAGTCCAAACCCCACATATCTTCGCAGGAGGATTTCCTTTTCTATGAGAAGTGTTAAAGGTCCAGTGTGTAACATTTAGGTAGATCTGCTGGCAAAAACAGAATATAATATTCATAGGTATGTTTTCATTATGTTACAGTGGGCTTTTTATATCTACAAAGGGAGCGAGTTCTCTTCTACAGTCCACCATGTTGAACCGCCATGTTGCTACAGTAGTCCTGAACAAACCAAACACAAGCTCTAGATAGGGTCTTTTGGTGGCCAACATAGTTTCTCCTACTTGATTGGAAGGCTAGTGGTTATTCAGTTGGTTGCAGTCATAGACTGTATTAAAAAAAATTGACATTGTCTCTGTGAGGTCACCAACAGGTTTCTGAAGAGCCATTGTGAAGCTCAGTGTGGTTGGCTCTGGTTGTCGCCATCTTGGAAGTCCTGACTCTGCCAGCTCCCAGCTAATCCAAAAATGGGTGGAGTGTGGGTGGGGCTGAGGCAGGCTGAATGAAGCCTGGTTTGAAAACAGCTGTCTGTGATGGCACCCACCCATCGAGTTACGCATAACTTCAATTCAATTCAATTCAATTCAATTCAATTTCAATTCAATTTTATTTGTATAGCGCCAATTCATAACAGAAGTTATCTCAGGACACTTTTCAAATAGAGCAGGTCTAGACCGAACTCTTTAAAACATTATTTACAGAGACCCAACACTACCACCATGAGCAAGACCTTGGCGACGGGGGCAAGGAAAAACTGCCTGTTAAGAGGCAGAAACCTAGGACAGATCCTTCGGCTCTAGGTGGGTGGTCGTCTGCCTCGACCAGCCACTTTAAGCCTTAGTATAATTCAAATGGGTGGGTTATATAAAAAATTCACCCCTGTAGAGTGATAAAACAAGTTATTTTTCGTCATGAATGGGGGAATTAGCTATTGAGCCCAAAACAGTTTTTTGTACCAGGCTATAAACATGTTTAATTCTGCTGTAAAGTTAGACATCTTAATGTGGGGGGCGTAAGGAGATTGACTTACTTCTGGAGCCAGTTTCAGTGGCTGTTAGAGGAACTGCAGGTTTTGGCACTAACGCATTTGTTTCATTTGCTAGCCACAGAGGTTGCTGCTTGCAATCTGCAACTTCACTGCTAGGTGCCACTAAATTTTATACACTGGTCCTTTAAAGGAATCTATAATGAATCTATAATGCCAACTGAATTGTCTCAACAACTATTCGATACATTGCCATAACATTTGTTATAGATTCTTATAGTTTCCCTTCATTATGAATTGAATCAAAAATCAATTGACATTTAATCTAGTGACTGGTTTCTGACCACACACCTGCAAAAACCTGTACTTTCTTTAGTGCTAATTAGCAATGTTAGCATGCTGACACACTTAACTAAGGTGGTAAACATGGTAAACATTCTACCTTCTAAGAATTGTCCCTGGGATCATAGCTCAAGGCTCTGCTGTGCCTAAGTACAGCTTCACAGAGCCATTAGCATGACTGTAGACTCTCAGTTTTGTTCACCTGTTTTCTGTATAAACCATCCTCAATGTCTATTTTAAGTATGCAAGCTAATGATAATGCAAAGATGGGTGACATGTAGGGTCATTTTAGATGCAATGCTATGCACAGCACGTAACATGAATACTGCATTGCTATAAAATTGTAAGGCCTTTGTGGCCCTATTTGTATATTGCAAAAAAATGACTTCGTCTCACCTCTAAAATACAAAAGAATATGTTACAATATGCTACCACTGGGCACCTATGTTCTACAATGTAGCTCAACCATGTCCTCTACTCCTTGCTCTCTTGTTCTCAGCAGCAGTGTGTCCACTCTCTTGGATCACCCAACAGATGCCCACCATGAGTGCCTCCTGTCTGGCTTCCTCAATTCCCCCTGGGTCCTCTCATCACCTGACCCCTGACCTGTGACACTGCTGACCCAAAGACTTACGCAACATTTTATCCAAAGGACCTTGCTCCACCCCCACCTGAAAACTGTCCCACAATGCCTCTACAGGGAGTGCCTGGCTCACACTTACATTGCTATAGAGAAGCAGAAGTGCTACTGTGACACTTGCTACTGCCAGCAGAGCCATATGGACTTCTTGACACAGCCATTGCCAGTATATTTATCCATGTATTCATCCATTCAGTTTAGGTGTTTTGAATCTTCAAATCCTCTTTTTGTGTCACCCACAGTAGTGGTTATTGTATATGTTTTCGCAATAGCATAAACATTTGGTTGAAGTGTGTTTCTGTGTATCACAACAGTATGGCACCATACAAGTATGTAAACCCTTGTGTGTATTTCATAAAGCATGTGCAGCTGTATAGATTCTAGCTTTCGATGCTTTAAACATTGCTGCTTCTTTTTAACCCATGTGTGAAGCATCGCATTGCACTCTTTATATTATTCCTACACATAAAGTACTCTTCATTAAAAAAATAAAAAATTCCCCGTAGTATAAGCACAAACTGAAGCAATGCATTCCAAAAACGTGTTGTGTGTGACTGTTAGCGTCATATCAAAAGCTGCAACAAGCTGACAGTACATCAATATTCAACATGTCCTCTTTGTGCAGTTGACAGTGCTTGGATGTAACTTCAGACAGCGCGATAACAGTCAGGCTCCTCCGCGCCCTTTCACAGTGAAATAGGACTTTGTTATCAATCCACAAATGCTGATTCACTTGCAGCGCTCACTCAACTGCCAAAAGCTGAAGCCAACAGGACCCAACTGGATATGAGCTGCAGTCTGGGGATAAAGATAATGTGTATCATTTGAAAACGACTTGTGATCGCATCTGATGAGTAGATCTCTGCACAGGAAAGACGTAACCAGGAGGTTTAGTCACTCACTGACTTTACCGCACTGTGCAGTACTAAAATATGTCTTATCCTGCAAGTTTACTTGCATTAGGTCCAAGTACCACTTTGTCTCTGTGGGTACAGATGGAGCCTGAATACTGCAACACAAAAATGTGATAGATTTTTCTTTCCATGATTTCATAAGACTGTGCTGTCAGGATGTTATTGTTATTAACTTGATGAGCATTAATAAGCAATATTAAAGCCTCCCTTTCAAATCAGAAATAAACTACTGAAACTTGAGTTTGCTTTTTTTTCAACCTGTTTTATCCATAGACTGTTTAAAACATGGCTGTTGGTGATATCATACACAAGTTTTTTAATCAATATTTAAAGACTTGCTTGCTTCCATCTGAAAGGAGGAACTTCCAGTTTGGAGGTGAAGAAGCCTCAGTGGAGCTGAGGTGGGATGAGCAGGCAGCAGTCAAAATGCCTGAAGGATGGCTGAGACAACTGTCAATCCAGGAAACTCCCCAGAACACGGTTTTCTTTAAAAGGTCCAGTGTGTAACATTTAGGATGATCTATTGTCAGAAATAGACATATGCACCGGTCAAAGTACGTCCACTGAAGGTTGTTGTTTTTGCCACTGACAGACTCAGATTGTTATTCTAAGTGACTGACAACATTATGAAAGGATCCCTACAGAGATAGACCTTTTGTTTAACCAGAAACAGCTGGAATATTGCTATCACTCACTATCTCACTCTGCTATCACCCCAGACTCCATAGACAAAAACAGTAATTTTACCATGCATATCCTCTAACAACATAAGAAAGTGGACAGAAACAAAACAAAACACACCAAAACCGTCTTTGTTAGTCTTTCTACTGTTCCAACAATCACCAACTCTGGTTTGATCGAAATAAATCCTTAATTCACCGACGGAGATGACAACAACAGTTTCAGTTGCTCTACTTTGCTCCACACGCAGTACACCATGACTGCACATCTCTACACAGCAAACAGTTGTTTGCCGCTACATTAATGTTTTAAATGTCTTATATACATCGATCAGCCCTAACATTGGGCACCCTGGTGGTCATAATGTTCTGCAGTCCCAGACCAACAAACTGTGATGCACTGTGTGTTCTAACACCTTTCTATGAGAACCAGCATTAACTGTTTCAGCAGTTTGAGCTAGAGTAGCTCGTCTGTTGGATCGGAACACACTGGCCAGCCTTCACTCCCCAAGTGCATCACTGAGCCTTGGCTGCCCTCGACCCTGTCTCTGGTTCACTGCTTTTCCTTCCTTGGACCACTTTTGATAGATACTGACCTCTGCAGACCCGGAACACCCTACAAGAGCTGCAGGTTTGGAGATGCTCTGACCCAGTCATCTAGCCATCACAATTTGGTCCTTGTCAAAGTCACTCAAATCCTCACGCTGCCCATTTTTCCTGCTTCCAACTCATCAACTTTGAGGACAAAATGTTCACTTGCTGCCTATATCCCACTCATGCCATGATAACCAGATAATCAGTGTTCACTTTACCTGTCAGTGCTCATAATGTTATGGCTTATCGGTGTGTGTATATACATATATATACATATACCACCAAACAAAAGGCTAATATCTTAAGATAACCAGATAATTAATAAAAAACTAAATGAAATTCTTCTCGTACTTTTCCCTGGCTTTTATGCATCGTCTGAACCAATGTTACATCTTTAATACCTCATATATGCATGCTAGCATGGCACTCGTGATCTAATAAACACTATAAGTAAGAAGAAACAACCTTTTGTTTTTTCTGTCTTATCTCATTATCTCTGAATCACAAAGCTCGTTTTCTCAAGATAAATTAGCCTCATGATCTCAAAAAAAGAGAAATAGTAATAAAAAAGCCTGGCTTGGCTTCCATATTCAGCAACTTATATAAACAGTTCATACAGTGTCTGCCATCTTCTGGGGTCTCTGTCCATTATTGTAATTGTTGCATTTATTGTTTGTATAAGTCTATAATTTGTTAACGTTTTTGAAGATCAACGTCTTAATTAGAATTCATTTAATTAGCATTTGTTTTATATTATTTCATTTAGTTTGACTAAAAAGGTGCTTTTATTTTGAAGTCTCAGTAAGTCTCGTTCGGCTGCTCTCGCGTGTCTGACTGACAGCATCGGCACCAGCAACTAAGCAGTGATGAAGATCCTTTGAGCTGTTTCAAGTTTCATCCTCGTCACAAAAGACTATATTTGGAAGAAAACTGAAGATTTGAAGACAGTTCCCTTTTTCGTAGCGTGCAGCAAACGAGGTATTTTATGTAGCCTATCTGTGTTTTACTCTGTAAATGTTATTGTTTATGTCAAGCTAACATTGTTTACATTTTGTCAACGTTATTTAGTTTTCACGGTGGATTTGGAGAAAGAGAGAGACAAGCTTCAAATAAACCCGTAGAAAGAAAGCCACTCGTGTCTGCCTGTGTGGGAGTTACAATTATTAAACATATGAAACATAACACTCATCAGTAGTGCTGCCTGTGACTGCAATCCTGGTTGGTGATCTTCAGCTATATGTATGATATACAGAAGGCATATGTTTAGTGTTACACGTTACAACTTCTTGTAAAGCATTCGTTTTTGATGTCTTACTAGTACAATTTTAGTATTTTTATCCTTTTCTGACATTTCTGATGTAAAAAAAACCCATTACAATATCAACATGTGTGAAAATCTTGCACGAAATCACACTTTAATGTTCACAGTAATCAAACCCAGTAAAATCCTGCTGGGTCATTCTTACAGCTCACTGTCTGAATGGTTATTTCATCATGTTGGGATGTTGTTCACTTAGAGTCTGTCTGTTTGTGAGTGTGTGAAGTGATGTTGTTTGTTGTCTTACTGGAGGCTCTGTGGACACTGGATGGCCTTTTTTTCAAGACAAGCAACACTTGAAGAGAGAGAGTTTGAAGGAACAAATGAATAATGATGTAAATGAAATGGTTGAAGTGATTGTTTTGCAGACTTGGCTCTCTCAGCTCTGTCAGTTCCGTCAGTTCGAAGCTTCCACAAGGGGGAGCAGTCCCTCATTCTTTGGTACTTGCTGTCACTGACCTAGAAATCTAGTTCTCCAGATGTAAGAAAACAGGTTCGTTTGGTAACGAGTCCGACCCCGACAAATGTCACATCATCATGAGTTTAATTATCATTGCCACTATTCATGAATCCAATCACAATATCTGTCAACATAATCGATGAACTGGATGTTTTAGTTTCAGCTAGTTGGTTTTACTTCAGTTCAATATAACCATATCTTACATACATCAATCATTAAATCTACTATATATGGATATGAAAGGCTCATGGCTCATTATAAGGGGGTAAGGCCCATTGACAGTACACTGATCAGCCATAACATTATGACCATGGGTTTATCATCAACAGCAAGCTGCTGATATTGAAACATCACAGCAGCTGATTCAGAGCAATGATCATTAGTCAGTCAGTGGTGGATGTCCATACAGCCACACAGCTATATAGTCTACACAATAAAGCCACATAATCAACCCACAAGTCTGCAAGCAACGTGAGTCCTGTCGTTACTACAATACCCAGCAGACACTGCGGTCTACAACACAAGCAGCAACCAACAGCCTGTCCTCACAGATACTGAGAAAATCAGAAACAACTTAGCAGTGATGTTTCCATCCAGCAGCTGTCAGTTGGAATCCAATGAATCCACTGTTGCCTGTATGAAATGTTTAAACACGACAAACTCCACATATTCCTCCTCCATCTTCATCTTCATCTTCTTCACGGTGACTGTCAGCTTCCTGCACGGAGCTAGCTGCTGCTGCTTGCTAACAGTGTCACCTGTTTGGCTAGCAGAGCTAACAACAGCACTGTCCGCTGTGAGGGAGAAGAGCTCCATTTCTTCCTCTGCTCTCTGGACCTTTTTACACTGTTATTGTTCAGTAACACAGCGAGGTAAACAGACAAACAGCAGACAGGCTGCAAGCGTTTAAAACTCCCGCTGTTGTACCTGCGGGGCCCTCTCAAGGGGGTACTGAGGGAGGGGAATCAGCGACAGTACAAACAGGCCACAGTGCCCCGCTGTTGTACCTGCGGGGCCCTCTCAAGGGGGTATTATATGGGAGGTCTGTTTATTCACAATATTCAATTAAACAACAAAAATGCATGTTCAGTAAGGCAGATTGAGCCAAAGGTGGGCCCCTTTGTAACTGTAGGGATCATATTTGCTGAAACATTCACTATATCCTGACAGTAGTACATGAGACAGATCATCTGTGTAAAAATCAGCTCTCTCTGGCTCCCCCTAGTGCTCTTAATGGCAATCAGAGCCAAGAAAAATAGTTGATTGAGTTCTTTCTATCTTTCTTGGCTCTGATTGGTTGTTTTTGTCCAGGCCAGGTTTTGCAAATGCCATTAGCAGCGCTACAACGAGTTAGAGGAACCTGATTTTTCACAGATCTGTCTATCTGTCTCATGTACCTCTGTCAGGATAAAGTGAACATTTCAGCAAATATGACTAAAAGTTACCTACTGCAGCTTTAAAGGCCAGGTTGAACAGGAGGGCTAATTACAGCAAGTACATCCTTCTTAAATGTACTTTATGTGAGTAGTGGCTTTAGACCACATTGTGCTGTGTGAATCTATCCTTTGAACACCACCAATCGTATTTTTAACATCTCCAAATTCAACGCTTTGAAAAGAGGGAAATGTTTCAGTGCAGTGGAAACCTGAGGAGAGATAAAGAAACTACATTTGTCAGATGTTGTTTACCTCCAGTATCGATTGTTCCCTGAGGTGCAGGGGTGTGTTCTCTGTGTGTGTGTGTGTTTAGATTCAGTCAAAGTGAACCTGGAGTGTGTGTTGACTGTGAAGGCCAAATTAAAAGGAGATGTAATAAGAGCGGCTTCAGCACCACCTCTAACCTGCAGTGAGAACAGTTGCATAATGTCTTCTGTTCCTTTGGAGGCGCTTATAGTAGATGAGGAAATATATGGCGTATCATAGTCTGGGATCCCTGTTTTATTCACCCACCCCTAAGGCATAACCGGTGTCTTTTAAATATTTTATAATGGATCTTTTATAAGAAGATTTACTTTGTTCTGTCCAATGTAAATCATTTAACTCTACCACTCCATTGTCTGCAATTGGGTCCAATCTTGCATACAGTCATGATGGTGTACCACTCCCTCTGTAGATAAAATGGCACATTGTAAGGTTTTCTTAGTTTCAGGTGATTATACACTAATGAAAAAATACCTATGAATATTATATTCAATTTCTGACAATAGATTCTCCTGAAGGTTACACACTGGACCTTTAACTTAACAGTGATGGAAGAGAGGTTGAATTTTAGGAATGAGACTTTAACGTTTGATGTTGCTCTCTGTCACCGCCATACATCCAAATATTTTTGGTTTCCATCACTCGCTCCTTCGCTGCATGAGTGGCAGAAATTGCAAATGTTCCGTCACGCTGTGAACCAGGTCTCCAAATCACCGCAGTAACAAAGAACAGTTGCCTCTGCACACTGAAAGCTATTCATAAAATGTCACAGCAATTTCAAAAATGCCAGAGCAATTTCTCACACACTGAATACAGGTAGCTACAGCATGTTCTGATATAGAGTGTCTGTGCGTGTGTGTGTGTGTGTGTAAGCTGATTTTCTTTGTTCTAACTTTACCAGTATGTGTTTAAAATCACACACAGTGTCAGTTATTAGTGCATCAGGAGGAAGCAGTGATCCTGTACTCCCAGGGGATGCGATGTAGGAGGAATAGTTTGGCTTTGGTAATAAACTGCATGTTGCTGCTAGCTGTGCTGTCCATGAGGAAAGGCCTGTAGTCGGTGATTGATTGCCTCAATCGATCCTCTCCAGACAATCTCCATTATGGTCCTACGTGAGGAGACTACGCTTGGCCCTCTGGGAGACAGCACCCGGCGTCACACCACCTTCGCCCTGTCTAACTCTGTCACGGCCATCTGTGAGCATTCGTCAAGTGAGAGGCAAGGAGGGCAGCAGTGACGGCCGCTGGTGCCGAACCCTCAGCTGCCGGTTGTGTGCCGTTCAGCCTCCGGCTCTCTGCTCTCCTTCACCGGTTTCTTCTCGCTGTAGAGGAAACTAGAGGTTAAACTCAGCTTCCATCTAAATGTTTTGTTTCCCCCCCAGCTCTTTTCCTCAAACTGACTTCATTCCACATTCTTGCCAGACTAGGAAGCATTTCACAATTTAGTCTACTAAGTACAACAAATCACTATGTTTTCTCATAATGATTGCTTCTGTATCTTGTAATTATGACTTAGACCATTGTAATTATGACTTAGACCATTGTAGTTATGACTTAGACCAGTGGTTCCCAGGCCTGGACAAAATCAACCAATCAGAACCAAGAAAGATAGTTGATTGAGTCTCATTCCCAAGGTGCCCAGACACTTTGGGACCCTGGGAATGACACAATCAACTATCTTCAAGCTTCCAATGCAAAGCTTCTTTATATCTTTCTCAGCTCTGATTGGTTGTTTTCGCACAGCTTACCTGTCTTATATACTACTGTCAGGATATAGTGAAAGATAATGACAAAAACGGGACATTGACTGAGGAACTGTTAATCTGTGATGGCTTATAAATAAGGTCATGACTCTATAATTACCATGGTTACCAAACAGTTAAGAAAGGATGTGCAAGTTAGGAAGTTTCAACAAAAAGGTCAACAAAAATGTCACATAATCTACATGACAACTAGGCAAACTGTATACCCTTTCTTGAGATACTGTTGAAAGCTCTGGAAAAAGTATGTGAACGTTTAGATAGAATCATTTTGTCAAATAATCTTTGCTTAAGGGCCACTTACCAGCTTGTATTGAAATCTTAAACTGCATCTCAGTCTTCATCAGTTGGCAGTTGTCATGGAGACAGTTCAGTTGTTAACACATGATGATTAAGTGATAACAGATGGTCATATATGGGTAGAAATGTAACCGCCATGGCAGATGTAAATGTCCTCCTTGATCTTCCTGTGACTCCTGCTCGATGACCTTTGACCTTTTCCCAATGGAGTTAGTATTGAGCTGATATCTGTCTTGTTGTGTTCATTCAGTCTCTTGACCAGGGTTATGACCAGTTGTCATTACTTGACTGAAATTCCCTCCTGTTACCATGTGGAGACATCTGGGCCAACTTCTGTTCAATGATGATGACCATACATACAATCCCAAAAATTAAAGTTTGAAGCTCAAATTTGGGTCTTATTTTTGTAGTTGTCCATCATTTCTATCAGTGACAACGACATTTTACTCACTAAGTTAATGGCTGAACATGGTGACATCACTGAAAAGAGGTCTGACAGGTCAAGAAACACGAGCAGTCAGTAATCTAAACCTGTAGTTTGGAACTGTTGTCAAGCAACGAGAATTTGAAGTCCACCACAGTGTGTCATACAGTCAGTGCTCAATACAAAATCCACACCTCAGCTAACAATAAGTGAGACCTTATTGCAACAAAAAACTCCTCTTTGGGATCAAGTAAGCAAACAAAAATACTCAGCTTGAGACTTAATACAACTGCTGGCCAAAGAAAGTAAACCCAAGTGACAAGCTGAGTGATTCTCCAACACTCCAGACTTACCACCCACAGCCTGTCCAGTGCTGTCAGCCCGGCAGTTTGATGGTGGGTCCTCAGAGTAGAGGATGCAGCTGGAGAATATTACTGATATACAGACTTTTTGGCTCGTTGACGGACTGGGCCTCTCTTCCCATTTTGGTTTAAAATGCTGCCATTACTGGTTGAAAACACATCAATACTGGTGCTCCAGCGCGGGAAAGTCACCACAGACTGGAGATTTACCTGCCAGTGATAGGCTTAATCAGCACTATGTGAACTTGTTTGGAATGAATCTAAGGGTCATTCATTCAGTGCCTGACATGGACCAAATAAGGTGGCAGTTCTCTAATTCAGAACAACCCAAACCCTAAACACAACGTAACCCTAACCCTTTTGGTCTTTTTTAATCCTTTTTAACAAGGACATTTTCAGTGCTGTTTTCTTAGTGTTAAACTAGCTATGTCTTGCAGTTTTTTAGGAGAACCTCACCAGCATTGCTGTACATAGAGTTTTTATTTACATATTTTAGAAATACCGAGGTCCTAACACTGAACTTGCTAAGGGGGGTTTTGGGGCATCAAAGACAAAGACAATTATTTCACAACTTTTATTGCATAGCCCTTGGAAAATATACCGGTGACCTCAATGGCTGGAATGCCCATGCTCACCAGAGGTGGCGGTATTCAATAAGAAGTATGGGTACTCATGTGAACAAAAGTCTGGCACATTTCAGGCACTACGTTCAATTATATGTAAAAGTCTTGCAGTCAAGCTTTAAATGAACCCAGAATTTAGCCAAATACATACCATGCAATGATTGCCAGGGGTTCCCAATCTTTTTCAACAGATACACAATTGTCCACAGACCCCTAATTTAAGAGCGTTTTTCTTAAGAAGATAATGAAGTCTTCAGTGATCAAACTAGGATAAATCAATAAAATCATCCAACCCTATTTGTTTCCTTGTTGGTCCAACTTAAAAAAATATATTATTTACTGGGGACCCAACTCAAGGATCCCTGTTGGTCCTCATGAAAACTACTGACCTAAAGCATTTTGTTAATCACCAATTGTTGCAAAAAATTATGCTTGTGTGAACTGTATTCTGTTTGCTCTCTTAAGTAAGAAGTTTTTTGCTGCAGCATTTCTCTTTAGACATCATGATGTGGTTTTGCTGACTGAACATTTGGACCATGCAAATGCTGTTTTGCAAAGAGCTTTGATTTGTGTCTGCATTGTAAAACTGGCCCCAACAATGCAACAGAGATATGGTCTGTACTGTAAATTCAACTTAAGAAATATGCAGAAAGAATAAAGATGACCACTAGGCGTCAGTATGGAACCATGAGTGACCAAACAACCTCTAGAGAACAGACGGACTGCCATTTTCTCACAAAAGACTGAAATAACATTAATTGCAGCATATAAAGCTTAGTATCAATCAAACTACTTGGCATATATGAGAAACACTTTCATAGGAATACAATATATAAATGAGTCTATAGATAGCTCCCAGTGCTGACTGCCTTTATCAAGTTGGCAAAATGATCAATCAGAATCCAGTGTTTTGTCGATGAATTGCTATACTCTCTGAATTTAAGTTGAGTCCTGTGAATAAAGATCTGGTCCCTCCTGAGAGTGACTGGGTGAGAAACATCCTGCTGCTGATCTGTCATCTTAAAGCTGCAGCATCTTGTAAGCTTTCCGCAGCTGTATGTGTCCCTCATCCTTCAGACCACAGCTGGCCTGAGGCCGGCATACAATATATAAAGATTTACAACGCGTCTCTACTTCCTCCTGAAATGTCTCAACAGCTATTGGATGGATTGCCATGAAATGTTACCCTCAGGATGAATTCTAACAACTTTGGTGATCGTCTGACTTTTCATCTAGCACCATCATCAGATCAAAACTTTCATTTGTCCAGTACATTGTCACTGTAAACATGCTATTGTTATCATTTAGTATAAAAAGACTATTTCTTGGCATGTAAATGACTTGTAAATGATCCTTTAAGTTTGGAAAGTCCAGTTGGACAAAATAATAGACTAGAGTTATTTCTCTACATCTTCTTGACCGATATGAACACCACCACCAAAGCAAAGACACATACTCAATGCTTATTTCATCAGGCAGTCTGCAGGTAAAATCTCTACAGTACGTGGGCAGAATGACAACTTACCTCTGGATTAATGTATGTTGTGTTTTAAAGGTCCAGTGTGTAACATTTAGGAGGATCTATGGTCAGAAATGGAATATAATATTCATAAGTATGTTTTCATTCATTCGGCCACCGTAGTTTCTCCATAGGGTGAAGCGAGGGAGTTGCAATCTACAGTGCCATCTAGGCACTAAATCCTTCACACTGGCCCTTTAAAGCTCCAGTTAGCTTGACAATGTGCACTGTTCTCCTAGACAACCACAGCTGTAGGTGCAGCCTTAAAAATCCACAGTGTATCACTGCAGAAGGCTAACCTCCTCCAATCCTCTGAATGTATTATCTAAAAGTCAGCTCAAATTCGGGCATTAAATTTTAAATTGAATTAATGAGCGGCTCCACTAAAACTTTTAATAGCCTATCCGATAAGAGAAATGGTGTCGAGGGACCTTCATTAAATGGAAGTTAAGGGATGGCTCTACAGGGGACAGTCAGACTCCAGGGAGCTGATAAACTAGGTGCTCCACTCTCCCTGCCCCCTTTTCCTTTGGTCGGGTTGTCCCACTGTCAGCAGGACTACAGGCTGAGGATTAAACAGCTGGCTTCATAGGAAAGAAGACGGCAAATAAAAATGAATCAAAAAGTAGCACGAAGGTTCACCACGATTAGGAGAATCAGAAAGGTCCCTTTCTCTAATAACTGGCATCGCGATACTAGTCACATTTGTTTATTGGCAGATGCTTTTGTCTAAAGTGATGTACAAATGAATCCTTTTCTCATGTTTTATGGGTATAATAATATGTCGTGGCAGTATATTTGAAAATAATAAATAGTAATAAAAATAGTGAGGCTAAGCATCATGGAGCTGAAAAACAGATCACAGTATTCACTAAATCCGAGCTATCAGAGGTCTCAACCACTGCCTCATGTGATATATTGATTTGGTAAATATAAATCCAATAACTTCTTAATACTTTCCTTGGACACATCTTGGAAAGAACAATACTTATAACAAGGAAAACCTGAATGTTTTGAGATGGCATGCATAGTGACTTGTTCAAGTTTCTAGTGTTAAACACACACACAAAAATGTTTTTTCTGCAGTAGATAACTACTCATATTTGCTAAAAACTATATCCTGACAGTAGTACATGAGACAGAAAATCTGTGAAAAGAATCCACCGTGTGTACAAAAACTGAGAAAAGATAGAAACATGCTGGGTTAAAGGCTTGAAGTTGATTGCTGAGTCTCATTCACAGGGACCTAAAGCGACGGTTTTTGACACCCTGGGAATGAGACTCAACAATCAGATATTTTTCTTAGTTCTGATTGGTTGTTTTTGTTCAGTCGCAGTGGATTCTTGCAAATGCCATAAGGAGCACTAGGAGGACCCAGAGGAACCTGATTTTTTTCACAGTTTATCTTGTGTGAAAGTGAAAGTTTTAGCAAATATGTAGTAAAAAATAAGAAATTAAAATAAAGTAAAATAAAAGTTACCTACTGCAGCTTTAATGTTGTGAAATGGTAACCCTTTTACAAAAAGTGCTAGTTTAGGTTAGTAAAAGATTACAAGTTATGTTACATACCTCACATAACTTAAGTATGTTATGTAAGTTAACTTAGTAAAAGAAATAGTTTACTTTTGGTTCTTATACGGGACACCAACAGCAATCTCCTTGGTTCATATCCTGTGTTTCTGTTTATTTCTCGCTCTTTAAACTACGTCTGACCTGACCTTGATGGCGGGTGCAACCAAGAAATTATGCTACAGCATCATATTTTGAAGTGAGGGCGGTATTTGATGACTTGGGAGAGAGAATATGACATTTCTTAGACTTTCTTAGCTTCTGTGACACAGAAACATTATACAGCTATTTTTATTGGAGTCTCTTTGATGAGTAAACTTACTCTGACATGTAAAAACAGCAGAGGGCCCCATTAACTCATTCTCTCTAACCATTAAGAGGTGGTACTCTCTCGGGAATCCCTACGAGTACAAATACACACTGTTTCACTGTATGAGGTGTAACAGTTAGTGCGCACTCTGTTTGGGTTCATCAGGCTAAACCGATATTCACAGAGACAGAAATGATGAAACAAAATAACAACACAGTGTTTGACTTCGTTTTTATTCAGGTAGCAGCATCAGTCAGCACTGTCCTACTTAAACACTGTGGCTCCTCTCAGCCCTGCAAAGACACACACACACACTCAGAGCAGAGTCAAACACACACACACACACACACACACACACACACACACACACACACACACACACACACACACACACACACACACACACACACACACACACACACACACACACACACACACACACACACACACACACACACACACCTGCATACTGAACATACATGTACAATCAGACACACAATGGGCACACACATACACACACACCTGAATGACCGCACTGAGCCCTTCTTCAACTTTCCTGTACAGAGAGAGAGACACAGAAAGAGAGAGCGGCTTCTAGTTTCACAACGGTGTGTACTGGCCGAACAACCAGCCTGACATCATGAACCTCATCACAGTCTATCAGGACTTTACTGTGTGGATCAGCCTCCACTGAGGTCCTGGACAGAAACCTGAGGAGACTTTCAAATGAGTTCTCCACTGGTGTATTTAAGTCCTAAAAGTGAAATTAATTTGACAAAACAATTCCAACTCAAGGTACATTTACTATTTCCTGTTGGCTTCTCGCAGATGGAGTTTGCTCAGTTGTCATGGAGATGAATTTATTGACCTGCACACTTTTACTTCTCATGTTGACTCATTCTTGACCTTGATCCCAACTCAAGGTCCACGTTTTTTTCTGAGTTCTCACCTGTACCACACAATTTCAACACAAATCATCATGACGAGTGAGCTGCTGCAGTGGTTACCTGATCCCTGATCAGTTTAAATACTGAATGATCTATGCTGGCGAGACGGCATGAATGAGCCTGTAAAGTTGATAGAACTTTTGTCTTGTTTGTAGTCTGTAAATGCAATTCACTGGGTTTGTTCAGTGATAGCTGTTAGCTAATTAACAGGGCTGTACCGGATAGTTGAAAGCTAGATAGCATTCCAGCCAACAACTAACTCATTTGATCTGATCAATTACTTAATTTAAAGTGAAGATTTTGTTGGAGGTTTCTTTTTATTAAAATTTTTTTTTTTTTTAGGATGATGGTTATAAAGTATGATGTCAGATATGGAAAGCTTTGTTCCTCAATAGAAGCTCAGAATGTAAAACATTTTGGTACAGCTCTACTAATTAAAAGGCTACTGTAAATACACTACTACCCTAATGTTGTATTTGTCAATTATGAAACAGCTGTAATCATATCAGGATTTTTACTTCATCATTACAAGCCCAGTATAATATTTCTATGATACTCCTGTCTGGACTCCCAGTGAGATGACCACACTTTACCTAAATCATCATCACTATAAATCATATCACTATAATGTTGTCAAACTAGAAGCCAGGGTGAAAAAGAGTGAGAGAAAGAGAGAAAACATTGTCTGCTGCTCTCTCCTGACTGTTGTTGATTTTCAGAATTTAAACTCTCCTTCCTGTCCTCAGATCCTCCTGACGCTGTGTGGAGGAGGCCCTCCCTGCTCCGCCCATCAGGACTGTAAACACACTGATAAATAATACTGATTGTTGGAAGGGAAAGTCAACAGGGAGCTCAGTGATTGGTGCTTTGCCTCAGTGTGCTGCACGGCGCGGTGGGGCGGCGGCTTCACAAACCGACGGGACTTCAGCAGGTGTTTGGGCAGACCGCACTGGCATCAATTTACAACACACAAAAATAAAGCACACCGCACCAGCTGCTGTCAGATTCAGTCGTAACAAAACACTGGAAACAATCTGTAGCAGCACGCTCAGGCTGATGTGGAGATACCCTGAATATCAACCGCACGGACGACCTCCAGCCATCCTTGCACTTAACTTCCCTTGTCATACGAGGAGGAGGATTTATTCTGATCTGTATCGGCTATCAAACAAATTAAGCAGCAGCAGCTGGTCGGCTGGCTGGCTGCACGCCTCAGTATCTGAGTGCGTGTCACTTGTCACAATGAGATTTTCAAAATCTGCGCAGACATGTTTACCGCTTTGTCTTATCTCGCCGCCTGGTGACGATTTGCATTTGAGTCGGGGTTGCGCTGTCAGTCAAACTGCCGCTGCTCTTTGTTGGCACTTGGAAGGCGTGCAAACAGGATGTAAGCCCACAATGTCTCACATCTTCAGCTCTCCTTAAGCTTTTTGCTAAGCACTGTCCTGGAGGAACACATACACAGTCACCGTTTTCATCTACCTGCATGAACACACACACACACACACACACACACACACGCATACATACATAATGTTACACGCAAGCCCACCACTCTGCCACTGGTCTTACAAATATGGCAAGGCATTAAAAGTCTGCTTTTCTTTGCTTGCTGTCTGTAAGATTTCAGGGCCAAATCTCAGGCCCCCACACAGCCAGGACCTGGGCCTGGCAGTCACTCATGTCGTCTGTCACAGCTTTTACATCTCCTCGTGGATGATCTCTTCTATCCACATCAGAGGACAAAGAATGGACATAAAGACCCTTGCAGTCCCAACACTGAGGGTCAAACGTTCTAACAAAGTCTGAGGGACTCAAGTCTCAAAGTGTCCCAATGGCCTCAGGTGGGCTGTCTCATTACCTGTGCCCCCCCTCCCTCCACAGCCCATGAAGTGTGTCAGTAGTTCAGGGACGGGGGCGTGAGGGTCTGCAGTGGTGGCTAGCTGTTGTTCTCAGCTGTCATGTATTTTAGGGCGGCGAAGCCGTAGCGTCGTGACATGTTCTGCTGGAACTCCTCCTTCAGGGTTTTGAGGCAGACCCGGTACTGCTTGTTGGAGCGAAACTTGGTGATGTCGAAGCTGGGCGCGTGAGGCATGTGGATCATGTAGGCGTTGGGCAGAACCACAAACTCGTACTCCTGTGGACAGAGAAGGACGGGAAGAAGTTGTTTTGGTTACTTTTTACAGTAAGTAAGCAAAGATGGCTGTCAAGAGTTATAAAGAGTTCTGTCACAACAAACCAAGTAGTGACAGGACAGAAATTACTCTTAAACTAATCCAAAAAATAAACTATAACACCAAACTGACTGGCAGTGCCATAAATGTAAAGGGATGTGTTCTGTGACTGTGCTCCCGGTGTAGCCTAATAATCAAAGAAATGTTTCCTTTACCTCATTAGTTTGTCTCATCTACCATCAAAACCGCCAACCAGTCAAGTTGCAGCTTACACCCATGTCTGTGCAGACTCATAATGTACATAATAACAATATATACAGTGAATGGAATGGACTTGGAAAGGATTACATGAAAGGAATAGGTGCATTCTTTGGCTAAATGGCAGTTAGCCAAAGGAGTTCAAATGAATGAAGGATTATCATAGATGTATTGGCTGAATAGGTACACATGTACTCAAGTATGTTTCGTCAACAGATGTGATTTTTCAGAATGAGGCAGGAAGTGAAAGGCAGAATGGATGATGATGGAAGATGACAGCCCGTGCTACCTAATGTTTATTCATTGGTCATCCCAGTCAACGTGTGTTAAATCTGGAATTTATTCTTAAATCATGGCTAAAAACCTACTTTGAGGTCACAATGATCTTTAACATTGTTGGTAAACTAAGCTAAACTATGCTGAGCTGCTGTTTGGTGCTGGGCAGGTAATGCACAGTAGGTTTATCACAGCTTAGTCACTGAAAACAGCTGCTGCTGCTGTCAGAAACAATGAGAGCAGAGTCTGTTGATGGAGAAACCAAAACAATGATCTAAAATATGCTAAAAGCTTTGTAGAGCAGGGGGAACTGCAGACTGGGTCATTATTCTCTGTGGGTTTATCTCTACCAATGTCACCTTACACATTACATATAAAAAAGAATCCTTCTTTAATATAATAAAATATAATTCGGTGCAGCTTTATTGATAAGATTACAACTCATTTCCCATCAGTTACCTTTATTGCGGAACCAGCAGCAGAAATCAGGAACCAAGACTCTCAAGCAATCACACTTCACTTTGACAAGATTAGTGGGGCTGCTTCTATAAAGGGCTTTTTCATTATGAGTTGGCATTTCATTGAATAGGTCATTGCAAAGACAGATATTGAGTACTTCATCCAAACCTGACCTAACACAACTTCATAGAGCCTAAATAATAAAGCCTAATCATAATGAGATGCATGGATGGACTTTTTATTTACAGCTGTACATTCATAATACAAATGTACTGCACAGAACTGATTTCCTAAAATAAAAACACATTAAAAAATTTTTTTTTTATAATTTAACTTTTTCATGAACTGCAGACACCAGAAAGTAAAGTATGGAAGAAGTATACATACTCAGGCATTGAGCACACAGTATAGACAGCAGATAGAAAGTAAGAGTTGGGTAAATAGTTACCTGTGCATCCAGCTCCATGATGTGAGCCACCTTGTTCCAGCCGAAGCCTACGAAGCGGCGGTCATACTCAGGACTGTCCCTCCTCACCATGACGTAGGGCTCAAAGTCGGCCTCCCACTGCACCCTGTAGGGCGTGGTGGCTGTCCGCCATTTGGCAAAGTTAGTTGGAGCGTGGCCTTTAGTCCACACGTGGTACCTGGCAGGAGAGAAGGTTTCATCAAACTATTGTTAGAACGAGTGTGAGCCAATCTTTGTGAGAGACTTATAGTTTCTAAAATATTAGGTGGCAAACCTCTGTCCGTATCATAAAAAATCTAGCCTCTATTTAGAGTGTTTGTTTACCTCACACTGTAAACCGAATCATTTTTGATGGGGAAAAAAGTTGTGTTGTCTCTTTTTCTGTCTGTGCCATCACACTTCTTTCTCCACCAACAGTCAGGATAAAAGAGGTATTTACTGACTGCAAATTCTAGCCGGGCAAATAAAAGTGAGTGTGACTGAAGGAGGCGTGACTGCCTGTAAGGGCTGCACACTGGAGGACAAAAAACACCCCTCTTCTCCGGCCATACACAAGAGTCCTACTGACATGTTGCTGCCTCAAGTCCACAGTGGGTGGTGTAGCAGGGCTATGTGGCTTAAACAACCACAATTATGGCTATTTTTCCACCGAGATATATGTATATAATGGTTACTGACTCATCTTACCTGGAAAAATTATATTAAAGGGTCATTTCACCCAAAACAACACTTCCTCCATAGGTGTGCTAGCGGAGGGGTTACTGTGCAATATAATGGCAATGGCGAGAAGATAGAAAGATGCTTTGGACTGGAAGCTTGAAGAAAGTAATTCCCAGGGTCCCAAAGTGTCTGTATTTGACGCCCTGAGAATGAGACTCAACAATCAACTATCTTTCTCAGCTCGATTGGATTGTTATAAATGCCATTAGCACCAGGAGGAACCAGAGGAACCTGATTTTTTACACAGATTATCGATTCATGTTTTACTGTCAGGATATAGTGAAAGTTTTAGCAAATGTGACAAAAACTTATTTTTATTAAAATGCAATTAACAGCTATAGACAGTGTCAACCACAAATATGACATTGTTTATGGATTTTCTTATTTTCCATGATAAAGTTCACAGTGGCATTCCCACAATTCAACTGTACACCCACAGTAGCTGTCCATCATTTTAATTGCTTATTATCTTTTTATTTGATTTTTTCTATCATGCACAGGGAAATGAAAAAAATTGCTGCAGTGTTTTGTTGAATGAAAATCTGAAGGCCCTTGAACGTTGCTGGTTATAGAAAGAGAGAAGTGGATCACCTGAAGGTGAAGAGTGTGCCCATGTCCAGCTGAGAGAGCAGCTCAGCCTTGGACTTTGGGTAAGACAGACGATATCGCAGTGTCTCAAAAGCTGGAACCACCAAAGCTTTCTTGGTGTTGGCCATCTCCAGCTGCACCACTGACTTCCTAAAAACACACACAGATAAGATTAGACTACATAGAGTATATTAATATAGCATGCATGTATAATAGCTCATGATGTGAGAATGTGTTAAAAAATATGAATTGTTTTTCTAAAAGCCAGACGCAGAGGTGGAAGGACCACTGGCAACTTAGCTGGTTTCCATCTGATTCCTTACCTGAGGTACTCATATAGGCCGTACATGGGCAGGAAGTCGATGTCTGATAGGAACATGTAGGGAGTGTTGACCTGCCGCATGGCCACATTTCGCAGTAGGTTGACCGGGTAGAACTGTCCCTCTTTGTAGACGATGTGGTAGCCGACGTTTCCGCGGCTCATCAGCACCTCAGAGCCCTGAGCGTAGCGCAGGAACTGCTGGGCCTCAGCGTCAGACAGGTACAGGGCCAGGCTGATGGGGCCTTCCCAGTGCTTACAGATGGCCTCCAACATTTGGAGCCTGCAGGCGGTGGGACACAGAAATGGGTGAACTCACAAAAATGTCTTACTATACAACACTATACATTGAAACAAAGACCCAAAAGTGAAAGAAGTGCTTTTCTGGTAAAAGATTATAACTGTCCAAAGATAGCAGCTTGTGTGAACAAGCTACTAATTGGTCTGAACAAGATACTAACTACTAACTGACAGTTTTAGATACACTATACTGCAGACAGATTTTGGTTTGCATTAAAAAGGTATTCAGGTTCAACAGCCAGCTTTAACCAACAGCTGTACATAAACTTTCCAATATCAAATAAACTTCTGAATACACATCCTGTGTAATGAAGAGTTCCAAGAAACCTTTGGTAAATAACAAAAATGGGTAGAGTGCCCTTCTAAGACGTGTTGATTGTGTTCTGGGGGCTGCTATCTACTGATCTGGCAGAATCTGGAAGATTTGAAACAAAGTATTGAGCCTCGTGGCTGTTTCCAACTGTTTCTGTTTCTTTGTGACACAACATAACCATTACAATTAGCCACTGCTGCCCACAGCTTTAATAGCTTTTTGTGATGATATGAAATAATGAGTAACTCAACCTTGGACTTGATATGAAAATGAGTACTGATATTTGTTTTATATTTGTTGCATTAAGGAAAGCTTGAGACTGCGTGCCTTAGCTGGAGACTTGGCTTTGCTTTGAGGAGTTCAGCTTTGAAAACATTTTGGTCAGGCTGGCCTCACTCTGAATATGCAAAAGACACCTGCTGTACAGTGGGGATGCTGGAGAGACAACGAGAACTAATACATATTATTGTTTTTCCCTTTACTGAGCTAGGTATATTTCAGTATTTTAAACTCTGAAGCCTCTATGCTTTGATTTGTAAAACCAAGTTTTGTCAGTCTCCTTCCCTTCTCTCTCTCTCAGTTCCTCTGCATGCTTCCCACCTCAGTAACAATTCATTTGGTATTCTATCTGAAGGTGAGGTTGTTTTCCAAGTGTCTAACACTGTTTTGGATCTGGAATATGCCAATTCTTCCCTACACAGAGCCACCACGGGCCTCACTAAAACAGGAAAAAAGCCAGCTACCAGCCTCTAGATGCAGCAATGTTTTAATTTAATTGTTTATTTGTATAGGGACAAGTATGTAGCATAAAAAAATGCCACACACCACATCATTTATAGCCTAAGCTAATTTGCAATACCCGTCCCTAGATGAGCTTTTAAAATGTATAAAAATCAGCAACAAATACACGAGACCAGGGACGGCTGGTATATATGGGCTAACAGGGCTAGCCTCCCCCATCTTTTACAGTAAAGATGAAAAACTATTATTAAAAACCTTAGAACATATTGTTTTGAAATTTGGTAGAACCTAGAGCAGCAACAGCACCAAAGTGACAGAAAACCCAGGATATATGATACATCTTGGGTTTTCTGTGAATGGGCTAAATTCATTCGCCCAAGCAAAGTAGCGTAAGCTTCCATTGACTTTGATTGACAGGTGTCCTGACACGCCCTTCATATGCTGCCCATTTGGGCTAATTTCATCTGCCCAAAGGCTGACCTTCGACCAATCACGTGCAGTAGCTACGTACAGTGACCTTCGACCAATCCAGCCAGTAGCTACAGTACAGTGACCTTCGACCAATCACGCGCAGTAGCTACAGTACAGTGACCTTCGACCAATCACAGCGCAGTAGCTACAGTACAGTGCCTTCGACCAATCACAGCGCAGTAGCTACAGTACAGTGACCTTCGACCAATCACAGCGCAGTAGCTACAGTACAGTGACCTTCGACCAATCACAGCGCAGTAGCTACAGTACAGTGAGGCTAGTTCGTAGTCTGGCGGGCGTTAGCATGAACATGAACGAGGTGGATTATTTACTTTCTAATCAATTTTCTTTAAAGTCTTTGGAGGAAAAAATGGAAATACAGAGATTGGGAACACATCATCCAAACGATGTTCAAATAACACAAAAGAACAAACGACAAAATCTTAGTTTTGTGTTACATGGTTTCAGCTAACGGACTGGCTAACAGCAAGTGTAGCTAGGAATTCACTTTTCTGGTTCCATGTTTGCTGTTTGGAGGAGACACGGCTTGGACCCAACAAGGAATTGTGGATTTAAAATATTTATCCGACAAAATTAGGAAACATGAATGATGCACGAGCCACATTGGAAATAGGGTAAAGCTGTCATTGCTGGGTAAAGTGAAAATCGCCTGTCAGCTTAATGAGGGTCACCGCACCGCTGTACAGAGACACAACGAGCTGGTAAAGAAACACAGGCATTCACTATCACAGATTGTTGACTGTATTACATTTTGTGGGGACACAAGCTCGCCCTGCGGGGGTCCGATTAATCTCCCACTTCACTCCAGCGGGGACCAGTTCTCTTTTTTAGACAGTCAATCAGCAGATCACCTGTCAAACACACAGGTTGCAAAGTACACGTCTAAGACCACAGATTCTCTCAGAACGAGACAGGGCCTGGAGAATGTTCCGTGCTTCATATCTGAACTGCTGACCACAGATGACAACCAGCCACATCCAGATGTGGACACAGCTGCAGCCGCTGCAGCCGCTGTAACGCGGCGCAGGATGCGGCGCTCTGATAATGTGTCTGATAAGCACACAGTGCGCTTTGAGAAAGCCAGGCACTTGTTGTCTTTGCATGTGCACATTACCCAATGATCTGCAGGGAGAAACTGAAAGGTGAGCTGATGGTGAGGTACAGCACTGTGGAGTTTGACATGGTGATTAACCTGTTTGCTTCACAGAAAGGCCGTCGATGTGAGCGGCGTTTTAAATAAGGTCTGCCCAAGCTCTGAAACAACTCTCTCTTTTACAAATAATTCTTTTTGCTTTGGTTTTATAGATTTATTTCTGGTACATGGTGTTGCAAATTGTTGCTGCTATTTTTCTATAATGTAGTTGTAGCGCAATTGGCATGTGCTGTCTGTCTCTCTCTCTGTCTGTCTGTCTGTTTCCTCTCTCTCTCTCTCTCTCTCTCTTTCACCCCAACTGGTCGAGGCAGACGACCACCCACCTAGAGCCGGAGGATCTGTCCTAGGTTTCTGCCTTTTAACAGGCAGTTTTTCCTTGCCCTTGTCTCCAAGAGTTGCTCATGGTGGTACTGTTGGGTCTCTGTAAATAATGTTATAAAGAGTTCGGTCTAGACCTGCTCTGTTTGAAAAGTGTCCTGAGATAATTTCTGTTATGAATTGGCGCTATACAAATAAAATTGAAATTTGTCTCCCCAGTGTTGCCGTAGAGCCCTTGCTATAACAAAGTATACATTGTTGTTGCTGTAACTTGATGTGATGCTGCTGTTGCTGCTGTGTGATGTATTGATGAGTGTAATGCATTTGTTAGCCCACCCACCCAAAATCTCCACCAGTCGTCACTGGATGAGACACAGTACAAAAGATGCAAACGTAACAATAGTTATTTACTGGATCATTCAAGACTACATGACTGACTGATTTCGCTTCAAGAACTGTTTGAGTTTATAGGATCCAGTTTGTGTTCTTTAGGTAAGGAATTTTGTGAAGGAAGGGATTTTAATCCCCAGAGGATTTACAGAATTACAGCTAAATTACAACAAAAAGAAAACATTTGAGGGAATGATCAGTTTTACAGCAATGGTATGGGCCGGAATGTTCATCACTCTATTGTACTTTAATTAGTGCTCAGATTCTAAGGTTACTAAACAATTAGCCTGGCTCTCAGTCTCTGTTGGTTTCAAGGCTTCATTCAGCCCCTGTCACCATCCTTGAGCCACGTGAGCAAGTACAGGAGGGCATTTTCAGACTAGTAGTCAACTTAACCTTTAGTCAATGAGAAGAGTCTTAGTTGACGCACTTTTAGTATAGTCGCAGAACAACAAAACAAACTCTGTTTGGGAGCTGCGCCTTGTCACCAGGACTAAAGTAGCATTGTTGCAACACAGACCTTTTCTCTTGTAACACAGTGGGCCCTATCTTGCCGATCTGAAACGCAAGTATCAAACGCAAAACGCAAGTAGCTTTGTGGGCGGATCTCGGGCGCTGTTGCTATTATGCCAGCGGGATAAATGACTCTTGCGCCCAGCGTAAATCTAAAATGGGTTGGTCTGAAGTAGCTACATTAGTCATAGGTGTGATTTGGGCGTAACGTGCAATAAACCAATCAGAGCTTGTTCCATGGCGGATTATTATAACGGTGGATTTGCCAGGCGCACGCCAGGAGCGGTTCACAGCCGAGGAGACCGACGTTCTCGTCAGGGCCGTAAAAGACCGAGAAGTGACATTATTGACATGAAATAAATGTAACACAGCCATACAATAAATCAAAACAATGTAACGCAGCTTTGCAGGAAGAAGACCCTGGCCTCGGGAGCAGTGCGCAAGGGCCAGCTGAGGAGGGAGCAGCGCAAACACCAAGGTGCAGAGGATCCAGACCCACTACACGCCGGAGGACCCCCCTGTTCCTGCAGCAAACCGGGTTTGACATGCTGGAGCGGGAGCTGTCCGGGATGCGGCAAAGTATTAATGCCCGTCCTGACCGGGTGGCGATGTTGCTGCTGCCTCTCAGGCGCATCCCCTCAAGTCTGCGCCCTTAAAATAGCATCTGAATAAGCGCCACTGACTTTAGAGTAGCTTTTTCCTGGTCTGTGGCGGAATTGTTTTCTGAAACAGCAAAATAGCACCAGGGAACGTCTCCTCTTTTCGCTGAACCGCCCCCCCGGAGCGCAAGTTCATTCCCTAATTTAAGGACGTGCATTGGTGGAGGGAAAATTCCAATGTGCGTCGAGTGCAAAATAGGAATTATACAAGCGCCAGTGTACAAAGTCAATTGCGCTCAGTGCAAGATAGAGCCCTCTGTGTCTCTTACTGGTGCACTGTTGGAAGGACATTGAGCGAGGAGACCCAGCGGGGAATACTACCAGGGAGTGGATACAGAATGAGCAGGAGCTGGGCGAGCGCGCAACAGATCCCAGCTGGTTAACAATGGCTCCAACCAGGACTC